TTGTATAGGTAATCACATGATTTCAAGTGCAATTTGGAATAAATAAGCACAAGTGCTTGTTTATTCCAAATTGCACGAGAAAAATCACATGATTACTTGTTAATAATATACATGGAAAAATATGAGATGGCTGATCATAATTACGCATAAGCAAAGCACACACATCAAGTGCAAAAATAATTTATTCAGACCGTGCATTCGTTCAAAAAAAAAAACGGCATACCATCAAAACAATAATATGCAATGATATCTTTAAGGTGCAAAAGAGTTCAAAGTCTGGCTAAACAGTTCAAGGAATCGTTTAGTCTGTGTCTGAATCACTTTTGATAAAATGGAATCATTGTTTCTGAGGTTTAACCATGTTTGTTTTTAATTTCAGCATTGGATCACTTGAGCAAAGTGTTAAGCTGGGTCGGCTTGTAATTTTTCGATTTCCTTGGCAATTCCCTTCTCTAAACACCACTTTTTCCAAATCAACAACCAAAAAGCGGTGCTTTTTACAGTGTTTTCATTGTTTAAGCTGCTTTTCAGCTGTGGTGGTGAAAGAAAACCTACTTAAAACGCTGGCCATTGTTTCGCTCGCAAATTTTCAAATTTTCAAATTTTGTTATGACATCCAAGGCTCGCATTTGATTGGCTATCTGTGAGTTTCTTTGATTATTGACCAATCAGAATGTCTGATTTGTTACTTTCTTTGCACTGAATTAACCCTCTTCTGCACTGTATTAACCCTCTTCTGCACTGAATTAACTCTCTCCCGCACTGAATTAACCCTCTTCTGCACTGAATTAACTCTCTTCTGCACTGAATTACCTGAAAACTGCATTTATCTTAACCAATCAAAACTGAGTAATTTTTCCATGTGTATTATTAATTTCAAAATTGAATGAACACGTAGTATCAGTTTGCTTTGAAATCACAAGTATAATATCAGACCACAATTGCATGACACAAAGTTCAACTACCACAAAATCAATACATCCATTTTGAAAATACAAAATTTAATCACCCAATTTATTGTTACCCTTTGACCCTAACATCAGTATGCATATTCTCCACACCAATCTTTATGCATTTCCTAATTTCCTGACAAGAAGAATTTGTTTGCTTATCCAAAGGTTCCTTCCCTAGTGACCATTTCCTTTATTCTCATTACCTTAATGTGTGATTCAGAAGAGATATTGTAGGGAGAAATTAGATGCATTTTAAGGGTTAATCTATTATTGAGCCACTTTGTGAAAAAAAAAATAACAGCAGAACTGGAAAAAGAAAAAAGAAGTTTTCAGGACAAAAGTTGAAAAAATTTGTCACACACATTAATGATTCACTTGAGTGCCTTCCTCTTAAGAAGCAACCCCTCTCTAAAAAGCACCATTCTCACATTTTTTCGGTCATTAAGCACCCTTATTCTAACAAGCACCCCTACTGAGTAAGCATCCTCATTCCAATAGGCACCCCTATAACAATAAGTACCCTGTATCTAATAAGTGCCTGATTTAGAATAAGCCCCCTCCCTTGAGGTACCTAACATAAATAAGAACCCTGGGCACAAAATCAAATCTTTTGAGTATCTGTCTCTCCATCACCTCACATGAAAGAAAACAAAAACAAAAACAAAAAATTCCCATAAAGCTAGTTAATCCATCAATATTAATTAATTTACCAATAAAGCAAAAAATAGTGCAATTCATTCATAAATTTCACTGCTGAGAGCCGATCAGATTGTAAGGATCACCAGTGATTCCAAAATGGATGTAATAAAAAACCACATTGTTCAGACTTATCAACCTTAGGTCATTTTGTCCAGGTCAACAGTACCCATGTGCATTGTTGCAAATGATATAATAAAATGCAAATGAAATGTAGTATAATTCTATTTCAAGACTAAGTTGACTCAGGCGTGGTGAGAATTCACCCTCCTCAAGCCCTGAACAATTCTCTGACAATAATAATCCTCTTGATTTTAAGTCAATAAATTTTATGCCCAATGAGGGGACCAACTTGTAATGACACTAGAGAAAACCTCAAAACAGGCAACTACAAGTTTTCACTTGAACCAAAGAATTAAACGTTTTCACTTTCTGAGTGCAAAGCAGAGCAGATCAAAGTCGAATAAGGCCCGATTTGTCTTTTATTAGTTGCTTTTTATAATCCATACGAAATTAATTCAGCTTCAGAGCTTTACACATCTTTCTTTTTACGTGAAACAACATCCTCGGGTCAAATACATTCAGGAGCATTGTATAATCAGTCAAAGCTTTCAAATGTAACTTTGCCGAGGAGTCAAATCAGGTCAAACGATATTCACAATTCTGTCCTCAATGTTCTCATGCGCGACGTGATTAGAAATAATAATGAGGATTAACTGTTGAAGAAAACTATTTTCCTTCGACATCCCTGAAAATATTAAGCACCTACATTTGAAATACCTTATTTGTGATACATAGTAGCAGTCACAGAGGCCAAAATCTTGCATAAAAACACCAGGAAACAGCTCGACGTGTGAGTTTGATGCCGCGCGATTTCAAGCCACCGCAGACAAACCCACAGAAACTACTACACGGACAACAACAAACAGATCCTTACCAGTGTAGGGAGAGGTGAATAAGCTGTTTACATTTTCATGAAATCCTTTCAAGAAAAAATTCACTTACCTGACAAGGTTTTATTTCAAAAGTGAAAAAATACTCTAGCAAGTATTTCCTTTGGTGCTCTAAATCATTCCAGGAACTATTGTTCTTGACATCTCGGCTTTCCCTAGGGGAGGCTACTTGGTACTACTCTTTATTTACAAGCAAAATGTGCCAGGTTACTAAGGGACATTTTCAAAAAATGGTACTGGCGTGAGCGTGAAGAGGAAATTTATTATTATTATTATTGTTCGAATATGACGCGACGAAACGATATATTCCATCTAGATTTTAACCAAGACCAAGGTGAATTTTTACTATCTGAATTTCTCAGTGATTTCTGTCTTGAGAACGACGGATTCACGAAATAGCCGCTAATCTTCACCACCGATGCTGTCTTGCGAAAAAGCTTCGTAAGAAATCTCCTACTTACGTGCTCTTAAAATGGTTGGCAGAACCTTTCCTCGTGGAATAGGCTCTTGTGGTGATTGTCGAAAGTGGATAAAATAGGCTTTTGATGGAATGATAATGTTGACGAAACGAGTGAGTAAATTTGAAAATATGAGACACTGACTGTTATTATTGTTTACACCGATTTAGGTTGTTTTAGCTGTACCATGGATGGAGGGCTTAGAATTTATAATGTGGAGCCTCTGTCAGAAAAGGCTCGTATAGGTGAGTCAATCTATAACGTGGTAATTCTCATAACATCTATGTTTTTATTTCCACGTGTAAAATCATGTGTGATGGTGGTGATTTACTTAATATGTGAGAGGCTCGTGTGAAATAATGTCTGATGAAATCATCGAAGTGAAAAGAAAATACTATCTATGGCTCAGATATGTTACTGGCTGTATCTATAGAACAGAGATAAACTTGTAGCATATACGAATTTCTTTAGGGGTAAGTGCTGGTGTCATGTAAGGAAATAGAAATGAGTGAAAAAAAACACTGCCTTGTGATTTAAGTTAGCTAATTTGCGCACTTGTAGACATGTTTGTAAATAGTTTTTCGTTAAATTATCATTATTGTTGTGTTTGCAGATTTGAATGAGCCAGTCCAGATATCCCAGGCTCACATGTTACATAGATGTAACTTATTAGCCATTGTAGGAACAGGACCAGGAGCAAGATTTTTTAATGACAAAGGTATCATACGTACATGTAATATCGAATCAGACAGTAGCTGTTAGTGAGAGGATTTCTTTTAAGATGCAAATTGTAAAGTGCAATGTCACCCTTGTTAGTGTTACATCCCACATTTTGTGAAGTTAAGCCTTCTGTGAGAGGAGTCTTGTAAGTGCCACAGTGCAATGGCAAAACTGTAAGGTAGTTATGACTGCAAGTCATGTCCCTCAATTTAAAAACGTCAAATTTTAAAAAAAATTTTAGATGCTGCATTTTGCTTTAGCACCAGCTTGCTTCATATATCCCATTAGACTCACTGAAAAAAAAACACATTTCTAAAACAGATTTTTGTGCTGTATTGAAAATACAAGTTTGATAACACTAAAATATACATATGACAAGCAACCTCGAAGAGTAAATTTTCTGTTTCATTGATATTTAGTGTACATTTGGGATGACCTGTTAAAAAAGCTTGTGATGGAGCTCTCATTTGGATGTCCAGTTGTAAGCATCAGGTTAAGAAGAGACAAGTAAGTTTTTGTGTTTACATAGTACATTACATACAGTAGGAGGGTCTAAGGACAAAGATGGAGGAGATAGGGGAGGGGAGGGATGAAAATGTCTGGCAACGCATGTGTACATGGAGAAAGTATTATCATTTACAGGGATTATCATCCTTACTATATTGATTGTGCTTTCTTAAGACAAGTGATCTGCCCTCTATAGATGTTAATTTTGTGGTGGTACAATTTATACCTTTCAGGCTTTTTGTAGTGCTGAAGACAAGGATTCAAGTATTTTCATTTCCTAAAGATCCAAATTTGCTGTTTTACTTTGACACAAAAGAAAATCCCAAAGGTACACTTTTTGTTATAATCACGAGAGACAGTTGCTCTTCAACAGTTTATTGCAAGCTTTTGGATAGCTATTTGAAATTAAACAGACTTCCCTTTAACCCTTTAACTCCCAAGATCTGATTCTCAATTCTCCCCTCTAGCTGCTACATATTTCCTTCTAAATAAGTTATGAGAATTTGGTGTCAGATCAAGATAACAACTCCTACCTGATACATTTGAGTATTCTCATTACCTGTTTGCTGGATAGGGCATAGATATTGTAGGGAGAAGTTACTTGTTAATCACTTCTGGGAGTCAAAGGGTTAATTGTGCATCCTTTGTCTTTGGCTGTATTTCATTTTGTTTTATGACTTTATCTCTCACACATTCCTAGGTCTCTGTGAAGTTTGTCCAAGTATTGACAGGCCCCTGTTGGTTTTTCCATCACGCAAATGTGGAAGTATACAACTTGTGGTATGATAAAAACTAGTTTTGCTTATCCTTAACTTGGTATAGCCATTTAAATACGTATACACCTGATTTTCAAAATGATGACTGGTTAATTTAGAAAGTTTGAGTTAATTCTACAGTCATGTGGGACACTGCCTGACTAGCCCAATAGTAGAGGTGTATTACTACAAGCTTTTTCATTTCTAATCATGTTATGGAAGGCTATCCATGACAATTATCTGTTTCGATTGTATTTTTAACATTTTTTTACAGTCCATTTCATGGTCACAGTCACCTTTTCCACCACCAGAAGTCACCTGTGAAAAGTTTATTGAAACTCTTGATGTTACATAAATTACTGTAGTTTCACACTGCACTAACATAATGTAATACTTTAAGCATGAATTAAATCTATGAGAATCCAATGTAAAGTACATGCTAATTGATCTGCTGAAACTAATACCCCATTCACACTAACAAACATGTGTAGTAAGACCAGATTTATAAAAACCAGAAAGAGAGAACTGATAAACTGAACTTCCATAGGTTTTAAGTATTCTCTAACATGTATGTTCAATTTGCTAAATTTGAAGTAGACAAACATCAGTTTAAACAGCTTATAGGAAGAAACCAATTTAAAACCATATGTAACAAAACAGCTTTAAAACATGTTTAACCTTTGGTGTAAATGGAGTCTAACTTAGAAAAACTTAATTTGTCATAATTGAATAAAGCTACCGAACCCAAGTGAGTTTGTCCATTTACTTCCATCTATCATCTGCATTGAGTCTAAATTATAACTGAGTTTGCTCAAATTGTCAACTAATTTAGGTAAGTTACCACAATCACTTTTTTTTTTCATTCAAAAATGTACATAGCTCAAGCTACTCCATGTTCTTTGTTTTGCTTCACAGGACCTGACCAATAGACAACCAGATACTTCAACAGCACCATTTACAATTAATGCCCATCAAGGTGAACTTGCATGTCTAGCTGTCAACCAACAAGGTACTCAAGTAGCCACAGCTTCAGTTAAGGTGTGTGACAATCTTTCCAGTCTCTCATTGTAGATTTGAAGATGTAATTGAAAGAAAACAAATTAAAACTTCCTAATTAAAAATCTTCTTTAGTTGTAGCTTGCCATCACAAGAAATATGATTTATATGCAATTTAAATAGATCTGAAAATGAAAGTGGTACCTTTAAGCAGAAACTGGTATGGAAAAGGGTTAGGGTTTTGAAGTTAAGGTGGAACATACCCACAAAATGTTTTGGTCAAATAAACAGACTAAAATTGCATCCAATGCTAAAATCAAAAATTGTCTAAACCTATTAGTTAATTTTTTTTCTTTTTCCTCTTTTTGCAGGGCACACTTATCCGTGTGTTTGACTCACAAACCAAAAACTTACTGGTGGAATTACGACGAGGGGCAGATCCTGCCACTCTGTATTGGTTAGTTATTTCTTAAATGTGGTCTGTTATACAGTCATGTATTTTATCTTGAACATAAAATATTAAAAGAAAGCTGTGTTCTCTTGGCAGCATTAATTTCAGCCACGATTCTGCATATCTATGTGTCTCCAGTGATAAAGGAACAGTCCATATCTTTGCTCTGAAGAACACTTCTTTGAACAAGAGATCAAGGTAATGGATATTGCCATAACCCTTTTCTCTACTAGTTACGGTCTGTTTTTCATGTTTTCATCAAATTATCGCATCAAGAACAAACTCAGAAGCACTGCGTTCAGGGATTTTTTTTCAAAGCAGTTTTAAGCACGAAACTTAAAGACGCGCACATAGCCAATCAAGAATAAGGAGTCATACCTTCTTGAAAACCAGGTGTCTTGAATTTGTTTTAAAAAAAGCCTCCCTCTTTCTCAGCCATAACGGTAGTGTATTAGGACAGTGGTAGTTCGCAAATATATCCGGGAACTTAAAAAGTGTTGCGAGAGCGGGAAAGTAAGGAGTGATGTACTTCGTGTGCTTGGAATAAAGTGTATGTTTTTGAGCTTTTAAGGCGTGCCTTTTTGGCTTCACTACGTTACAATAACTCAATTGATTGTTCCCCATTTTTGATATGTGCACTCAGACACCATAGTTTGAAAGACATAGATTACATAAGTCATTTTGGATCAATGTTAGTGTCTGAGTAACTGCGCACCTACCCCTCCCTAACCCGAAAATAGTTTTGACCGACAACAAGTTAGGGAAGGGGTTGGTGAGTAGTTGTTCAGATACTGACATTGATCTGTGATCGTTTAGTTTTACTCAGTTTTCTGAATGGTCTGTTTCTTCGTCGATGTTGTGTTTTTTTCAGCCTCGCAAAGATGGGTTTCCTGGGGCAGTACGTGGAATCTCAGTGGGGTTTGGCAAACTTTACTGTGCCTGCTGAACAGCCATGTATCTGTGCCTTTGGGTCTGGCAGTTCTGTTGTTGGTGCGTATTGATAATCTCATTTAGGACTAAGATCCAGAATTTTAACGGCCTTATAGCCCCTTTTTTTCAGTAGCAAAAGGTACGCTACATAGATTGTGTCTTACACGCTAATTTAACAAGTTAACTCTAAGAAGAATTGTAGTTTTGAGATTCAACATCATCAAAAGAGTTTCGTCGTACACTTCCCGTGAGCCTGAAAGATGGAGCGGGAAGTGGCGACTGCTGTAACTTTCCAATGGATCACTAAATGATGTATGCGTTTTTCTTTTTTTTCTTTTTTTTCTTTTTTTTCTTTTGAACCAGTCAAAACTTTAGTTAGGTTAACAAAGTATTTTGTAAAACTTTTAGGTTATGGCAACTACACGAACAACGACTTGCAATCATTATAATTTTTTTTTTCTACGATATAGCTGTATGCGTAGATGGTACTTTTCACAAGTACGTGTTTACCCCAGACGGTAACTGTAACCGAGAGGCATATGACGTGTTTCTGGAGTTAGGCGATGACAACGAATTCTGAAATTCTGAGTGAACAATCTGGACGAGGGATCTGCTTCACAGACAACGATACAAACATCGTGTAAGGGCAAAGAAAGAGGAGCAGCTTTCTTGACAAGGATAAGAAATTTTCAGCCTGAAACGCTTAAGAACTTTGGACGTAACTTTATTGTGGAGAACTTACAGAGCACAGTGCTTAGCGGGATCTGGAACTCGTGCAGAAGTTCTTCGGTGGCACCCTTGCCTCTCTCAGTGTAGTAACGATAGCTAATGGTTATGACAATATGAAAGGATTTGGTCTGAATTTAAGATATTTTGTATATTATGTAAGAGATATCAAAGCTCAACGTGAATATAGAAATATCTCTACCTGCTGTACATAGACTGAATTAAAAGGGGTTGTGTATAAATCACGCGCTTTCCATTTTTAGAAACTTTGCATGATTGTACCCTGCAACATTTGTCATGTATTGAATAAGATAATTATTCATGAACAAATGATACAGGGTATTTCAATCCATAGGTAGTTTCCTTTCTATCCTTTCCTTTCCTTTCTTGCATGATTGTACCCTGCAACATTTGTCATGTATTGAACAAGATAATTATTCATGAACAAATAATACAGGGTATTTCAATCCATAGGTATTTTCCTTTCTTCGTTAAGCCGGCGTGGCTTGTTTGAAAATGGTGTGCGCTGTGTTTTCTTCAGGATCACTAAGGCCGTTTCTTTACGGCATGGTTCTTTTCATCTGCTTTCGCCAACCAGCAAATTAAACTTGCCACCCCTATGTATAAAAATTGTTTTTACTAATCTGTCTCTACTGTGAGGGAACAGGAACCATTGCCATAGGTTCCATATCAGTTTATTTCATTTTTAATTTGATAATTCATCTTTTCCCAGTTTCCTTGTTTAAATGTCTGCTCTCTGGCACTCGTCAAGGAAAAGAAGCTCAGATTAGTCCAACACAAACGAAATAAAAAATTGAACTTTGAAAATTAAAGTTTGTTAATGGAACCTTGTGCATGTCGATCCGGCATGCAAGACATAAATAGGCCATATCTGAATTAACTTTTGCCTCTTTTTCAAAACGAGGTCTGGTGCTCAACCATTCACATGAAATTGAGTTTAGTTTACAAGTGAATGAAAACTTCTAATCATTTGAAAGGATTAGAACCGGGACTCGCTTTGAAAATGAGGCCAATGGTAATTCGTAAATGGCCTATTAGATATTACTGATGTTTTCCACCGCGGTTACCTTCATCAGACGGTACCTGCTTTACCGTTAACCCTCGTAAGCACCTGTCGTGACTTTGGCTTCATTTGAATTTCAAAAAGCTACTAATTACAGCTTTAACTTGTCACTCGACTCCAAAACTTGCTGGGATTTGAAGCTTTTGAACCAGTCAAAAACTGACGAAGAGGGAATTCTGAATTTCTGGTCATTCAAATACACCTTCTGAAAGAAGTGAAGGCGAAGAGATAGCGTATTCTCTGAGAACAATTGAGACGGCAGAGTTTACTAAAAAGAAATATACTCGCCTCCAATTTCAATCAGGGTGATAAATTGTCGATCGCAATTAAAGGAAAAGAGAACTGAAAACTCTTAAGATCGTCGAGGAAGAGAGTACTGTAATTCAACTGATACAAACAAAAGTTTACCAGCTGATTTCTTGTTTTATTTTGAATTCACAAGGAAAATGGTCGACAGCGTCATCGATGATAATTATTAGAGTAAACAAAAGAGAATAATCAGGAAAACCATGAAGTTAAACACGCAAAATACTTCTGAACTGGAAAGCGGACAACCACAGGGCTACTACTACAAGGAAATTCAACCGAAAGAAGAAAACGACTTGTCCGAAAAAACAGAAGAAGGAATGGAAAGGGGTTTGACAAGGCATGGATGATGGAGATCTCCGATTTGGTTTATGGCTGAATATAATCCTCCTAATAAAAATAATTTTACAAGGACACAAAGAAACTTAAACGAAGAAAGACTAAGAAATATTGAGGAAACTGTGGACGCTCGTATCGAAGAAATGCAAGGACATTTTGATTCGAAATTCAACAATCGCAAACCATTGTCTCTACACCCACCTGTTCCCATGGAAACAGACACCTCACCCAGGTTCCCAAAATTGAAACAAACTGCTCCAGAGGAAACAAAGAAGATTGTGAGGAATTTAGGGGGAATTCGCTTGCAAAGGGAGAAGATAGTCACGGAAAGGCTTTTTCTACACCGACAAGTTTCTGAGACTATAGGCGAGAAAAGCATAAAACTAGCACGTGACAACAACACTCTTCCGGAAGTTGTTTGTAGACGGCGCTTTCGTGAAGAAGAAGACAAGCTTCATTATCTGCCAAGATTAAATCGCCAAGTTTTTTCTGCTCCCTCTTCGCATTTGTCGATCAATTTGAATAAAACTTCTTCGTACGGTCGTGATAGTAAAAGCGACGAGCTTGCGAGCCGTAAAAGTGTACTTTCGTGGAACGCATGTGTAGTTCCAGCAACACTTGTGGACTTTCCAGGGCGCAAGCGATTACCGTTGATATCGTCACTTAAGAAGTCTAACAAAGGAGTTAAAAACAGTTCGGTAGACAGGGTGTCAAAGCCGCCTAACTACAGAGAGCATAGTGCTCAGATGTTACCCCGATCATCTACAGACAAACCCGTGTCTTCCACGAGACTCTTATATCCTTCACATCACGGATACTGATATGGATCAGTTCCTTTTTTGTATCGTTATTTTGAAAAATGTCTGATCCTTCATTTCCTGGTGTAAAAAGACTTGCAGAAACGTAGAGCTGATACCATGCAAATCTAAATAGGAAGCAGCTTCAGTCTTTTCCAGACTAAAATAACTATCGAGTCCTCTGTAAACAGGAGAAGAGGATCAAGGTGCGAAATGCTAGGTTCTGATGTTCGAAGAGCTATTTTGAGAGAGCTATTCTCAAAATAGAGCTATATAAAGAGCTATTTTGAGAGAGTTTTACTTTGTCCCACCGGCTCCTGACGAAGGAATGTTAAATCATCCTTTACTTGATGACCGAGCCGACCATTTTCCTCTTAACTAATCATTTTACCCTAAGGGTGACTAGCACTTAATTTCTCCTTACAATATCACCTCTGAATCACACATTAAGGTCACGGGAATTAACAAAATGATCACCAACTAAAGAAGCTCTTGATTGTTAAACAAATTCTCCTTGTCAGCACCTTGGGAAATGTATAGGGAACAGTATGGAGAAAATGCATATTGATCAGTGTTAGGATGTAAAGGGCTAACATAACTACCCTGAGCTGATGTCAGTTGGAAAAATTTAAATTTGTATGATCATTTATTAAAGAAGCAATAATAAACACTTGATTATCAAAAAAGTTGATTCAAACTCGAAATTTAACTCCCCCCCCCCCTTCACCGTACCGCGCCTTGTTTGCCATTCTTCAAACGGGAAGGAGGAAAGTTTCTCTCCAAGGATGTTTGCATGCCGGCCTCACAGTTTAATGCCCGGCGTTTGCTTTCTCCTGCTGATAGAAAAGCAGCCGTTGTCAAGTTATTAAAATTTACCCCATACGGTGACTGAAAATATTGTTGTCTTCATTGCAATATAACGTTGTATCAAACGAAGGATAGCCTGAGTTACGGCAAACAGATCGAGCGGATCGATATCGATCGTAGGTAATATGTAAGTAGGAATGAAATCGCCACTAACTTAACGTTTTCCACGGCAGTGTCTTCGAGTTCGTTTTCCTGTCTCGATTATATCGGAAGTGGGAAAACTCTGAGCAGGTGTCGACAATCGTTCATCATTATTAGCACACGGTGAATGAAAAGAAGCAAGGTGTTAAAAAAAAGCTGAAAAACGTAGTGTAAATCTGTTGGGAATCGCTTTTTTTCAGAAATAGGACCTGTCCTCTGCGGTTGCATTATTATGTCGGCCCATCCGGTAAGATTTGTAAAGAACCACATTGTTCGCAAACACCTCCTTTGATGCATAAGTCGTTGACTGAATGGCAATAGTTGTTCCTGTTCAAGTCAACATGTTGATTTACAGTAGCCGTAGCCGTTCAAGCCACCAGAAAATTAACTTTTGATCCATAAGTGAAACGGTTTTTGACCACGCTTTCGGTCTACAAGCACGTTTTTCTTCGCTTGCCTACTAAACTGTTTGCTGACCCGCCTGTTATTCTTTGATCGGAAACAAATTTGCTGTAAAAGCCGCAGAAATAGAATAAAGACTGTACACGATTTGTAGTCCAGCCAATTGTTGAGGAAGAACCATTTTCCGCCAAACAGTGCAGTTTCGTGCACTGTTTTAGTACCATACATTATTCGTTTTCTTTTTTTAGTGAGTTCGAAAATAAAACATTTTAAGATAAAAGGCTTTATTCTATATTTGAACATTCGGAAGCTGTGGCTAACTGCGAGCAGTGTTTATCTTATTTTGTTTTTTAAAAAAAGTACCTCGAACCCATTACTTGTAAGAATTGTTCAGATAAGTTGACCTTGAGAGGCAGGCATCCGATAGTTTGGAAAACAACCGACAAAGTGAGGTACAAAGGAAGAAAAGGAAAGGCTATATACTCAATTTAACAACACAGAGAGAATTAGCCTGACAGAAAACTTCAGATAGTTAATATAATTTTCTAAGATCATGATCAGAAATTGACAAGGCAAAGCACTTTCAAAAGCATTTACACGTCGTTTCGATTCGTCAACAATTGTCTAACAACTAATCATGCAAAGTTTGCTTAATCAAGAAATATGTTTTCGCAAAAAGCTAAAGGAAATAAGCTGGAAATTTAGGGTGATAAATTTCCGTTTTAAACTGTAAATATTTTGAACATCAGTTGCGATATATTGAAAGGATCCTTATTTAGGATAAGCTAAGCGCTCATAAGGAGAGGGGACAGCTAATGCTTTAACTGAAATCATAAAATGTAAAAGAGCGGATACCTTTTTCGGTGTACATTAATCTTTTTTTCTTCATTTCAAATGCAATTGTTTAATTTACACACTGACATTTTCCCTCTGAGAAGCCTCGTTAGTCATATTATTGAAAATATAGTTAAATGTTGTCTCGGTTTGACCAATCACATCTCGGTCTTGGCTTTTGACTTGCAAATTATGAGGTTGTTGAACTGATTTCGATGCCCCCAGATCTGCAAAATGGCTTGAAAGATCCGGCCATGATAAGAAGGAAAGCGCCTTTGGTTTAATTGCAGTTTCGAGCCGTTTCGGTTGTAAACTGAAACTTGGCAAGAGGTCCAAAACGCAGAATTTTAATATTTCAAAGTAGAATTGTGGTCATTTTGCGCTGTCGAATCAGAAAACGTGACTTACCGCTGCAAGGAAACAGATTAATATAGGCAAGTCTTCCAGAATGGATTATACAGTAAGTAGATCATCTCTTTCACTGTTATAGACTCATGTTACATACAGAGAGAAAAAACATGTTAAGAGCTGTCTATTTAGCTGGATGGTGTAATATCGTTGTTTTCCATGACAATTTTGTGGTTACTTTTGTCGCTCAGTTCAACGGAAAGGGGTTTGTCCTCTGATCATTTAAACGCTGAATTTTTAGGGTTTTCTATTGACACCTTTGAAGAGGCTGGGGATATTCTGGTCGGTTTATAGGCGCAATTGTTGCCCCCATCTGACGATATCGCATGGCGGAAAGAGAACAGACTCGCTCCCACAGGTCCGCCAAAATGCGTGTCATCTTTTTATTCCACAGCGCTATCAGAATTCTCAATTAATGGCTCAATGATTTATTTTTCCCTAAAAGCTCTACTATTTGTCATATATGGCCTCAAAAAGGGTTTCCTAAATGTCGTTTCTGCTCGGTAAAATCTGCATGCAATTCAATAAACAGAGCTGACTGCACCTTGGATAAACACGTCCAAATTTACTCGCGATCAATGCATGTGAATGCAAATTATAGAGTCAAGTTAAATGTTTTAGATGCATTAGGGTTTTCTGGTTCGAAACTGAGAGACTCTCTACCAATTTTTTCCAGTATGGCGTGTTTTCAATTTTTAAAGGCAAATCTATTCTAATACCGTTTACAATAAAATAGAATGATATATGTTTATTTACAAAAGTGATCGCGCTGTCGTCGCTTGGGTTTTTCAACTCTTTCTGCAAGGCTCCTTGAAAAACAATCCAAATTTTGCAAGTTCGTTTTTATTTTCGAGTTGCGTTCCTTTCTAAGTTAACTGAGATGCAATTTAGCGAGAGTATTGACCCTTGAGTAAACCTTGCTCCCCACAGAATTGCAAGAGATGACGAAAATTATGGCGTTTTGCTGTATTTACTGTCAGAAACCATCGCGTATTTTCTTCAGAATCTGAATTGCAAATTTAGGTCAATATTTAAAGTTCCATTTTATTCTTGATAAGTTGGTTGTCCCGGGAAACTAAAATAATCGACTAGAGTTATTTTGGAAGGAGATTACAAAAGAAGTAAACAGCCATATGACACCAGAGATTGATGACGATAGCTCAAAATGATTAAGAAAAAAGTGCATGAAAGGAAAGTTGTATACAAAAAAAAACGAAAGTGGCGCCTGCAGTGTTCTCATTTTGCCGCATTGAATAAGACATTTCAATCAAACCAGCGAAGAGCGTGGTTTGTGTCGCGAATCGCTTATTTTATGGGGGTATTTTAGCAGCTATCTTTGCCTTTGAGCTAAAATTATCGTCATTCTCCTTTATCAGTGTTTCCTTATAAGCCCGCATCACTTTATTTCCCTACGTAACAAATTCTAATTGTCTGTATGAACACCTCACTCGATCTGGGAATAACAAAGTGGAAACAGGTGTATACGTATGGCAAAAGCTTATAAACATCTTTCTGAAAATTCAAAACGTTGATTAGAACAACATAAGCATTAGAACAAAATAAATTTAAACTCTCTGTCCATTCAACACTTCTGTAACATTTGTTAACTTGAGATCTTTAAGTCTTCTTATAAGTGACGAAGTTTAAAGACCTCTCAAATACGGACATAAAATACGTTTGGAGCACCTATCGTAAATACCATTTACTATTTTTTATCTTACAAAGATCAAGAGTAACATTCAGTTGAACTGAAATTTTGTTCAACCCGCCGACAGTCGGTCTTGAAGAAATAAGTTTCTGTAGCTGTGTATTTTAATGTGCTTGCTAGTTTCAAATGTGTAACAACGGTGTCGATGAAAAACCAGCTTGAAACAGCACAGTACCAACTGTTAAACTGAATTCTCTAAAAAAAATATTTTTCTTCTTTAGAATATAGTAGACTGCACTCGAGTTCTATCAAAAACAAAATATCAGAAGCTGACTCGAACGGAAGAAATAATAGTCAGCAGACCATGACCACTGTGATTCGGGTGTGTATGAAAATCAAGGAGAACTGCCTTTTAAAGGGTCCCCTGGGCGTATCTCGAACTGAACACTATCTGCTGCCGTTTTTTAAGGTTCCCTACGACGCCCAAAGAATATCGACACGAGTTTTAACGGTGAAACAGTGATTTTAGAATTGTATTATAAAGATATTGATGTACATTCCTCGGCTTTCTTCAAACAAAAAATTCCAATCTCTGCATTGTAGATTATTATTTTTGTCAGAGAAAATCATGGTAACGCTATGTGGTGTCCGGACGGAGAATTTTGCTAGAGCTCTACCTTGACTTAGTTATTTACTGATATTTCTTACATCGGCATCAGTGATACGCAGCTTGTAAAGGAAATACTAGAAATAGTTCTATCTTTAGAATTAAAAAAACAGGATAACTTAATTGAGATTTAATTTGCCTCTTTTTCCGTCACATAACAAATGGCTGTCGATGCAAATGTGTTTGGTATAATTGAAGTTCGATTTCTGTGGTTCCTCGCCAGTTTTTCTCTTATAAAATTATGACAACTAAATTACTACGAGCGCCCTGATTGGTCAAAAACCTGTCTTTTATTACACCAGAAAACCCATAAGAAATTAAAATATTTAACGTTTAGTAAGAAAAGCAATAGATTACACTTTCTATCATTCTACCAGCGTAATAAACCATTTGGGATGCTGGGAGAAAACAAACTTTTCGAGGGTCTTCCCAACATCTACTGCGTGGGTTAATGCGCCATTAGATCGATGAAAGTGCGATCTATTGCTCACGAAACCAGCGCTAGGATTAGTAGGTCTCTCTAATAAAGTAAAGGAGAGTCTTTCTTGGTCGAGAGTAGATTATAATACTTGCTGTCGTTTTTTTTTCCTACCTTAACTTTATAATGAAAGGCTTTCACTATCCACCAGAAACTAAAAACAACTGAATAGGTGATAAGTGAAAACAATTTTTCGCAGAAATTATTATCCTTTTCGACGGTTCTACATTTTTAAGCCGGCAATTTCCCGCCACTTTTTAAGTTTCCAGCTTTTATTTTTAATTTTAATTAAAATAAAACAGACTGTGAACAATTTACGTGAACGCGAAAGGAAGGTTAAGTTTCTTCACATTATGAGATGTTTTTTTAAGAACGATAACAATAGGTCTGCAATAGTTGGTGCACTTCGAAGATTTAAATGAGTTTGTAAATCTATCAATAAAGGGGTTAGTTTGTAAAGAAACTGTGGTGTTGCGTCGGTGGGAGAGTATAACAGGGTAATTTAGTATTATCAACTGAGTTGATAACGTAAAATGGCCACCGTAAAGAGTTTCAAAGCTGACGTTAGCCCTAACGTTCGAAACGTCTGCTTTAAAACTCTTAATGGTGGCCAATTTACGTTATCGACTCAGTTGATAATATCAAATTACCTTGTAAATCTATCCATCGTTTTGCATCGTAATAAAACTGGGAAGGAGGCGACTGTAGAAAGCTGTATTAGCGAGTATGTAACCCATAAATAAAGATGAAAAATTTCGCAAGACTCCACATACCATTGAGCTTCCGAATTTGTTAAGAGGTTATAGATGGCACCACAAGAGACATTGAATAAACTAGCTTGAGATAAAAAGGAATATACTACATCCAATTGGTTGTAGTAATACAGTTAGAGAGTTTTGCCTTCATAACCTGTATTATTGAAGTTGCAATTCAGCATTGAAACATCTTATGTTATATCACTGAAGAAAAAAGTTCAAATCAACTTGGTTTGTTTTCTGCAGTGTCTGTAAAACTATCTTTGGTACTAGCAGTAGTGGTTGCGGTGGCCGCGGCCCTAGTCGCCGCGCTGCTGGCTGTGTTGTGCAAATGCTGCTGGGTATGGTGGCGTTACCGCCGGACACATCTCAGGCGCAGCGCCTCTCAAGAGAGTTATGTCATCACTCAAAAGAAGCAGTGGCCTGGGGGAGGATTCACTTATCAAACATACGAGAACGGTTCCCTCGCGGACCATGACAGTATGTCCAGCGGCGAAGAGACATACATCGTTGAGACGCCTGGAAAATTTTGCAAACTCCAGTTCTGGCTTGATTTGAATAAAGAAGATGATGTTTTAATCTTAAGACTGGTGCAAGCCAAGGGAATCATTTGCACGAGCAACGTTCAAACAGCTTATATTTACCCTGTCATACAGCTGTACAAGGAAGGGACCAGTTTGGACGAAAGGGAAATTGAAAAACAGAAAATGACTTTTGAACCGCAATGGAATGAAGAAGTTTTGTTTTCGTTGGATGGGCATCCTGTTGAAACACTTTCGTTTTGCATTCGGTTGATCGAATTGGACTCGTTTTCAAACTCTCATCTGATTGGTCAGGTGGACGTATCGCTGGAAGAGGCAGACTTCACAGGGGGCTCTGGAAAATCACAACCCAAGTGGTACGATATCGCGTGCGACTCGAAGGTACGCTTTCTTCCTACCTGATCTCTAAGTAATAATAAGCCGGGAACATAAAGAATATTTTGAGTCAGTGTGGCTTATCTCTTTTTCCTAAATATTTTTCTGAAATACCACGTGAAAAAAAAATCTTTAAGCTTTGTAGTTCGCACTTTATGAGTCACATTTCTTAATTCCTCGATGCATTTTAAGTTCTCGAGAAGAGAAAATCTCAGTGCAAGCGGCCAACAAATGTTGAAAGCCTTGAAGATACTTAATCCTCAGTACGGATGACACGCAAACCAAACAAATTGGGCATTCATATGACTCGTTCATCACATTCCCCGAGTCAGTGAAGATGTCCTTACATACTCAACCATTTCAACGTTTTAAGTACAGAATAAAGATATCTCAGTGCAAGGTATTCTTCGATAACTCATTGCCTCTGGTCTTTCTTTACAGAAACCAGCTCACGAGTACGTAGGTGAGCTGCTTGTTTCGTTAAACTACTTCCCTACAACACAACGTCTGACAATTGTGATCCTGAAGGCGCGGAACCTCAAAATAGACTCTACATCCGGACTTTGGGGTGAGTTCTACTCTATAACGCGATTTTTCTCGCTCCGAATGACATCTCAACTGCCGCAACTGAAAATATTCACCAATGTGAAACTTTCATTTATTCTATAGGATAGTTTGGCTCGAGAAAGAATTACCAGCGCAAAGGCACCAAAAAGTGGTCTCTAGTAAAAAGTAAAAAAATCAAAGAAACAATGGAAAATGGAAATAATTTATCAAAAAGGAAGGGAGACAATAAAAGAAGGACAAGCAAATCTAGACTAAATTCTTCGAGGCATTAATTTCATTTAATAGTTTAATCTTCTTTGACCTTACCTTCAAAAATCACAGCCAAAACATGAAATATGCTGAAGTAAAAAAAGATATTACTTTCGCCAAAGAATACGACTACTTTTTTTTTTGCTGACAGGCCCGACAGTCAGAGTGATTCTTATGTTGAACAAAACCAGATTGGGTAAGAAGCGGACCGCCATGCAAAAAAAGACTTTAAATCCAGTTTACAATGAGGCTTTTACATTCAAAGTTACATCAGAGGCCTTACCGAAAGTTACCTTCAAGGTCCTTGTAGTCAACAAACATTCACATGGTGCCGAGCAAACAGTTGGTCACGTGCTGCTGGGTCAGCAGGTGACCGGAAGTGGATTTTCTCATTGGAACCACATGTTAGCCTCGTTGCGGAAGCCCATCGCCATGTGGCATCCCATAATTCCTGGCGCGTGAAGCTGTGCTGCGGACGCGAATTGTGAGTGAAGTATATTTATGCGAGAAGACTAAATTGTAAATATTGACTTAATAGAGAATATTACAAATAAGTATTTGAAAGTGCAGGCACTGTAGTACAAAACGGTGAATGGAGCGCTTGTCTGTGGAGACTGAAAGAAACGTTTGAAGCAAGAAAGCTTTTCAATTCTCTCTCGTTTGTGTTAAACTACAATGAATTAAAGATAACTTCTGTTTTGTTTATTTGGGACAAAAAATTTGGCCGTCGAGTCGAAATTTGATAATGCTCCTTTATAAATAGAGCAGTAGAGGCACTGTTAAGGATCAGTGTTAGCTTGTTCTCGTTTTTATTGTAAATGTTGTTGTCCAAATAACTTCAAGCTGGGCTTGACGATATATGAAAATTCGGTATACTGGGATAACCATCGTTGAATAAGAATTTAAGAATTGTAACTTGGGTGAAAGGGTTATCATTCTTGCCTCGCAATTGTAAATGATATATAGTACTATGAAAACGCGAGGAAAGCGATAAAAATATTATGCAGAGAGAGTCCAGGTGCGTGGGTAGTTCAATGTTCGGATACTCCACTTATCACTCAGTGAAATGAAGGGATCGTAATCGTTGTGAGAGGTAGAGGTCAATTTTTCAGGCCTTGTATCAAGTCCAAATGCAAAGGATAATGCAAAACAATAAAGACTTGTTTGTCTACCATAGCGTCTCTGGTCTTAAGTCTCTTGTTTTACCTAATCTTGCTCTGATTTTATGCCTACTGTGTTTTTTGCCATTGAAATTTAAAGCAAACTTTGACCAAAAACATCACTTCTGTATGAGATCATAAGAGGTGAGTAATAATAACTCTCCACCCCAACCCACCCCTCCCCCCCCTCCCCCTTCGAGGTGAAAATAAAAACGTCTGAGACTACTTCTTCCTCCAATACGTATCGTAAAATATTTTACAAGGCCTTCAATCCATTTGTCGCGCGTATGGGATAAAGAAGAAGCCGAGTCACCGATATTAACGAGCACGAGGAACTCCGAGTGCTGGCAGGAAGCCCTACCGTTCAGCTAGGGGGAACTACTAAAGTGCATGTATAACGCGGAATCTTGCATACTGCTGGGCGCCTAGGAGCAAGTATGTCGAAACTTCTAGAGATCAAACATAACAAAATTAACTATCCTCAAAGAGCGAACTGCATTCTGTGATCTGTGATATTTTTAAATTTCGGGTGGAGTTTCGATGTGTATGAATTTTTGATGGCGATAATTCCATAAATTACACACTTGAAAACAAACTCTAACATTTTATTTTGCATCCCATTTTTCTGGGCAACTTCATCTAGCAGCGTTAAAGAACAAAAAATCAGCATTCTTACAATTTTAAAGAAGAGAGCGATGAGGTGAAAAGAGGTTTGTAGTGACTTCTAATCTGCTCGTTTTCCGGTTTTCTACCAAGAAGGCAGAGTAGAGACGTATCAGTTTCACAATTCATGGCGTGGAAATACAGAATTACTTTTACGAATAAAACACCGATAAGGTCAAAATTTCACACCACAACTTCACCTAACTTTGACTGTATTGCCCGTGGATTTTTGTCCATTTTGGGCATCTACTGGCCATCTGAGAATGAAAGGAATCCTCTATCCTGTCCAACTAACATACTCATGATTCTGAGAATTATAAAAAAGCTAGGTAAAATTAGAAAAAAATGAAAGAGAGCCGCCGTAAGATATATACCTAATCACTTCCGGTATAGAAAAGTTCCTAATTCCATCTAACGGCGATCGTTCAATAATGACTTTTAGAAGAGTCCTGGGCAGAATAATCCTTGAGTGCCTTGATCACATCCCTCCGGCTAAGCGGCATGATCGCGCCGTACGAGATGTCCGTCGGCCATGTAAAGAGTGAATGTAGCATACTAAAATCACCAGAGACGGGGTCAATAAAGTAGAATTCTGCTTTCCGCTGTCCATCTGCACATGTGCTGAAGTCAAGGACGGTGATAGCACCATTGATACATGTCACGTACGGTCGAGTGATTTTCGCTTCTTCGTACATAACAGGATCTAATGTCTCTGTGCCACGCCTTCCGTTTTCCCTACTACCATCAAGATGCAGAAAGGATCCTTTGTCAGCACGCCCTTTGAGGGTGAAAAGCTTGTTGACTTGGATGTCAATCACCTGCCAATCGTCTGTCACGGGATCGTACACCTCACAGTCATTCGGCGTGACGTCTTCACCTCGCTCTCCTCCAATTACAAAAATCTTTTCATCGTGGACGAAGGCAAACGCACTAGATCGAGGCTGGTGCATGGGCTTCACGTATGACCAGCGGTCTTCCATGGGATCATATCTTTCTACAGTCGTCAAGCATTGCCTGTGCGCCGAACCATCGATACCACCAAACACGAAGAGGTATTCATCTTTGTAGTTCACCGCTGTGAGCTCATATCTTGGTTCGCACATGTCCGCCACCGATGTCCACGTCTGCTTTTCGACGTCGTACCGCTGTACGGTTCGCTTCACCTCTGCAACCTCCTGCATGGACATTCCGCCAATCAGATAGATATCACGACCCATAGTTACAGCAGCGCAATCAAATGTCATGGGTGCAGATGGCTCGATGTCACATGTTGGTGCAACGCCCGAGTTTGGAAAGAAATGTCGCGCAGTCAACGGATTTCGGTGAAAAGCCAGTTTGGGATTGTTCCAAGGCACTTGAACGTACAGTCCAGAATTGGTGTAAATAAGAGGAGTTCCATTAGCCAGCATCGATTTGTTATGAGGGACACGAGCAATAAGAGACCAAGGTCCTGCAAAGGGAAGCCAGTAGCACAGATTGTAGGAATGTGTATAATGCAGCCGGTGTGTTAATCCAAACAACGCGACATTGTAGAAATGCGCTGCCTTATAAACATCTTCGTCGGAAACGTCGTCTTTTAACTTGTAACCAGAGAGCGACTTCAACTCATCGAGGCAATCGTCATTTGTCAGTTTCTTCAGAAAAAGATCTGGAATGCTTCCCATATGAATGAGATTAAGAAGTCTTTTAAAAGATTCTTCTCTCTCCAGCTTAGAATACTTGTACCAGCGAATTAAAGATTCTAACAATTGTGCTTCGCTCGCCAAAATATCGTCGTTTGATAGAAACCACCTCATATCTTGTTCAGGAATGTCAAGAAAAACGTCTGATGATGCAATACTCCAAAAATGATTACACACAAGATTCAATATTTCTTGGTAAATCTCATTGAGACAATCAAAGCTTCTAACGAGAGAATAAACGAGCCAGAAGTTGGACAACGTCGAGGAATCTCTCACAAATTCAATAATCCTTCGTTTTAAGCGCTCTATTAACAAATAATCACTCGCTTGTAATAAATTCCTTGCATTGTCAAAAGTGATTGTAATCTCTCCCTTATAAACAAAATTTAACAATTCATCGATGACAACCTCATCTATTACAGCTAATTCAACATTACTTTCGTGAACTTCCTTCATTTCAGAGCGAAAAAGCCCCTTAAAATAACAGCTTACAGCTGCTAGAATGTTCTTATGAACAGGAATAACGATGCCACTTCCCGTTGTTAATGTTAGATCACAGAACAATCCCTCGCTTTGGAAGGTTAAAAGTTTGGACAACATAGTGCCCTGATTGTGTGAATTAAACATTTTTCGTTTAGGAGCTTCATCATTCATCGTTTTAACAGAAGCCAAAGCCATATTTTTCTCCAGAGGATCAAGCAAATCTTCTATTCCTAAAACTTTGGTTGCGTGCAGCATCAAGGTTACATTGTGTCGATCCAATTTACATTTTCCAGTGTATAAGAAGTTAATGACATTTTCCACGGCACTCGGCTCCAGTTTAGCCAGCTCGTGTAGAACAAAATTAGAATCATCATGTTTAGAAAAGAGTTCGTTAAAGTAATCACAACTTGCAGCCAGTACATTTTTGTGGACTGGAAAATCCTTGTCATTCACTTTTAAGGTAAAATCTGTAAATAGCCTCTCCTTTCTGAAAGTGTTAAGTGTTTCAAGCAGGAAGACTTGATATGGAGCCTTTTCAGGGTCCAAAGGCTCGTCGCTGGTTTCTTCTGTTTCCACTTCCCCTTCATTTTTCTCCTCTTCCCCTGCCAAAGACAGCTCCACTTGGTATGGTTCTACAACTCCTAAAGGATTAGCTTGCTCCTCTGTAGAACTTCCCACACATTTTGCCAACAGACCACCCATTTTGATCACTAGCGTTTTAGGTTAGTACTGACCTGCTTGTCACGCAACACCAATCACACGTACCATAAGTAATGTCACGCCACATCATATACCCAAGACAATATTCCATATTCATTTAGAAGCAGATGAATTCACTTGCCACTGTCATGACCTAGAAGGTGTGAAAGAATATAACCTTAGGCATGCAAGTTCTCAACTGATGTCACCTTGCAGTATTTTGGTACCTGTAGTTTACCATTCCATTACATTGCCATCTAATGTTTAAATTTTTCCCCACAGTGATCTGTAGAGTGGATCCAGACAACACATCCAATGAAAAAGGTTATCACCCTACTGAAGCAGGGATACAACCATTATCAGACAAATCTGATGGCAAACTTTCATACCAAGTCAATTACTAAAATTCACAGGTGGAAAGCTTCTCTTGCAACTAACAGTCAGCCTGGCTGAGAATGAAATTTAGTTTTCTAAACAAAACATCACCAATTATTACAACAACCTGAATTACAATCACAGTCCAAATTGTTAGGAAGATGACCATTTCTTACTTTCTTATATTCTCTCCCCTCCCCCACCCCCCTTGGTCAACATAATGCAAAACAGCATTGTTTGAGTTAACTTTTGATCCTACAATGTCCAACACTGAATGATGGAAAAATATAATAGAGGAGAAATATTATTTCAATTTAATATAAAGAGAAGTTTCATGAATCTCAGCACCAATGGATTTATTCCAATTCTCTTGAAATTCATTGAAGTGAGCTAACAGATTATAGAAATAAAGGAAAACGATGTGATTGCTTATCCTGTAAACTCTTCTTTTGCTTCCTTTTTAACCCTTTAACTCCCACAAGTGACCAAGACAGAATTTCTCCTTACAATATCAATACAATATCAAGCAGGCAGGTGATGGGAATAGAGAAGAATATCAATTATGGGATTATTAGTTGATCCAATACCAAATTCTCTGAACTAACATCATAAGATTTGCATGGCAGATAGTAAGGAGAATTACTAATTAGATCTTGGGAGTGAAAGGGTTAAGAATTATGTATTTTCCATGAGGTGGAATTCAGAACAGTGTTGATTAAAAAGAAGGTTTCAAGCATTTGCTTCAAGTTGAAATTTATGGATTCAGAATTGTGTTTGGGTGCTTAATTTTGGGTATCTAAGACAATGGCAAGTGGTGGCACTAAGCTGTAAAAAAATAAAGAAATTCAAACAAAATCTGAGATGCAATTTTTGTAGTTCACTTTTAACCCTTTACATCTCACTGGTGACCTAGACAGAATTTCCCTTACACTATCTGTACGATAACAAGAAGACAAGTAATGAGAATAAAGAAAAATATCAATTAGGAGATTATTGGTTGATCAAATTCCAAATTCTCCAAACTAGCATCACATGAATTGTATGGCAGATAGTAAAGAGAATTACTAATGAAATCTTGGGAGTTAAAGGGTCAAACCCAGGCATCTATGGAGAGTTTCAAATGATGTCTTCATTAACACCACCACACAACATTAAGAATCTACAACAGCAGAGACTTAACTTGTTGCAGCTTGAATTGTGAAGTTGAAATAAAAACACAATTCCCCCTACTAATTGTGGAGCATGTGTATCTTTCACACATAGAATCATTTCTCAAAGTATCATTATAAATACATGTGCAACTTAGAAATCACATATCAGGTTTAAAATGTAGGTTACAAACCAAATTTTTTCCTTTTCAATTTAAGGCAAGTGTGAAGTGAGTGGGCCATAAACCAAAGGGGAAAAATGAGGATTCATAATGTACAGTACAGACCACCAAGGAAATAAGGTTAGGACATGGTTAGTAAAATGTTCATTTTGTCTCTATTGTGTATGAAAAGTTTGAAAAAAATCTTTTTTGTGCTTAACAGTTTCACATGAAAATGTACATTGACAGCAAAATAAGTATGTTCAAAATTGTTTCTCAGACTTTGGTGCACTGCACTAGGAAATGATTTCATATCTATATTAATTGGTTCCAAAAATGAGCAAAGTTATTTATGGCAATTTACCATACATCATAAAATTTTGAAGGTGTTTTATCCTCTAGATTGGCAGTTACAGTTGTTTAGAGGGAAAAATTTAAGTGGTTTGAGATTAATACTGGTAACTTATTGTTACAATTTTCTATTCAAACAGTAGAATGTTATTGAGGAAAGAAACCTATTTTTCAAACTTGTTAATTCTTATAGAAAAAATACAGGATGCATTGTTAATAAATGGATTTTCAAGTGAGTTCCAATGCAAAGAAAACAAATTGCTTTTCCTCTAATTAGACTGATGTTAGTAAATATGTGAAGTGTTTTATCTCAAGGGAATGTTTTCAGAGCAAACTTACTTTTATAGATCAGTTGCCATTTGTAACATCAACAAAAATCAAAACTCTCAAAATTTCAATGCATCACAGTCCCTGTAAAAATTAGAATTTTAAACTTTGATATGTGCAAACAGATCCCTTCAAAATTGTGTGCAGTAAGATGTAAAATTCAATACCGAGGAATGACCTTAAACCAGGACCTACATTGCCTGATCTTAAAAATTTTTTGTAACATAATTACTTTACAGTACTCGTTGATCACAGCTGATATTTTTCTTGTTTCGATACTTCAAACTCTCTTAAGTTGATCTTAAGCATATCAAGATAAAAATAAAAATTACAAAACCACAGTCAGTTCCTTTCAAACATCGAACAACTAAACTATAGTTTAACAGTGTGATGTAATAAAAAGTACACATGTAAAATATTCTTAATTTAGGACACACTTCTGTCTGAAGTATTACACTTTCTTTTTCCTCGATTAAATTTGTGCTCTCAAAGTTCACAGAAAAGATTTCAATCTTCATATGACCATGTTCTCCACAGGACATGAAATTATCGATCTTAAATAACAGCGTTATGAAATTTTAATAAATACTAGTCTTATCTCAAGATTTGAGGGTGTGTTGATCAAACCTTCGTGACATTTCTAAATGCTTACCTCAATTTTTTCTCTGCGTTAGTCCTACAACGCCAATTTTGCGACGTAAAATTTTACTCGATACCATCTACGTACAAAGGTTCATCCAAACAAAGGATGAGGTATCACACAATTTATGAAATTGCGTCGAGTGTGGTAGAATTTGAGTATTATCATGGCGTGCAATATTGAGTCATCGATCGTGGGACTGGAACGCAATAAACGACAAAGTCCTCGTCCAGCTTCGGTGAACTTCGGATATGTTCCGACGGTTTCCCGATGGATAAACTCTTCGAGAGGATGGCTCACAGTTCCGGAAGTTTCTGCATCCACCAAATTTTCAGGTACATATAGTAGTTACATTTGGCATTCTAACTGACTGTCTTATGCAAAGTGATCTACGATCGAGATCCATTATTTTTCGCTCGGGAAGACCGAAATTTAGCACAATCTTCGTGAGGTTGTTGTGGTTTCGTGTATGTTTCAAAGACGGCTGATGATTTCCAAGATGGGGGGTGAGCAATTGCCACCTAGAGGTTTGCCTTTCCAGAGATCTCAAGTCTCACACAACCCAAGGAATTATCATTTAAAACGTTGACATCTACTAAAAAGTGTTCATCCATGCCTATGATTATCATTTATTCCGACGATTGTTACACAAGTAAAAACTATTTTTAAGCCTTTGTTTCTCCGCCAGATTATTTCTGAATTATTTGTATGTCCAAAGAGGAGTAGACTGCTAATAAATTTTCTATAGTCATACCATTTAGCTCTCATGTTTTATCATGGTACCATTGGCTTGGATTATTTTGCAAAAAAAGTCCTGAGGACGTTACAAAACCACTTAACTGCATAATATAGTAGGAGATGGTGCTAGATTTGTTTAGTGGCTCAAAATCTATGGTTAAAGGAATTACACTCTGCCCAATTTTTCGGACGTTTACAGAGCCATTTCTTAATGGTCCTCTAATTTGTCAGCTATGAAGTTTGTATAGGTAATGACATGATTTCTAGTGCAATTTGGCATTAATAAGCACATGTAAATTTTTCAAAGACAAAAAATGCCAAATTGCACTAGAAATCATGTCACCAAATTGCTTGAGAAATCTTGTTGTTGCCCATTTATAATTTACATGAGAAACACTTCATAGTAATTCAAGACAGACAAAATTTTGGCACCACATGTGCGCTATTTGTAATCTATACTCATGTTACATGAAAAATGCACTCACTTTCAGCCAATCAGATGCACATTATTTTTTCATGTATATTATTAGAGATGATATAATTATGTTCTTTTAATGTCTGTAGGACACTCCTTCAAATTGGATATAACAGATTACCAATAGGAGGATTTCAATACTCAACAGAAAACAAGATAATTTGAGTATTTACATCAATATGTGTATGTTTATTTACAAATGAAAGTGTAACAGAAGTTTCAAAGCAAGAAGAACCATCTATAAGGAAGAGATTCAGTACCAAAAGGCAGACATTGGGTTGTACAGAACCACTATTATGGAAACTCTCAGCAGCTTTAGACATCAGAAGCTTCATGTTGATTTTAGTTTAACAGTTGATGGGAAAGATTTCTTGGTGCACAAGAATGTACTGGCAGTAAGCTATAAGTTCTTCAGAGACTTGTTTAAAGTATCACCAGCTGTAGTTCATTATGAACTCATTAATGTGGATGGTAGTGCTCCGAAGGATATTCTTAACTTTTTGCACACTGGAAAATATAGACTCAGTCATATTTCAGATATTTTGATCTTACAGGATTTAAAAGAAGTTTGAGCTGAAAATCTTTCCTCAATGAGCAATAGCTCTTCTTGTGGGGCTACTTTAAAAAAAAATTTGTTATATGCCAAGAGGAGTCAATTTTGAAAGAAATAATGGAATTTTGGCATGAAGAATTTTTGTGTGACCTCAGACTCATCACTAGCTCTGGAAGGGCTATTCCAGTTCATAAGAGTTATTGGCAGCTGTGAGTTGCTATTTCCAAGGGCTTCTTAGGTCTGACATGAAGGAAGTCCAGGAACATGATGTTCACCTTGAAATCATAGGTGATGCAATAGTAAATGAGTTGTTGAATTTTATTTATAGTGGAGAAATCATTATCACATTTGACAATGTAAAGAGCTTGTTGCATGCTTTGGACTTCCTTTTATTTGAGGAGTTGAGAGAAACAATTTTTGTTTTTTTAAAAAGTTCTCTGACTGTCAAATTTCTTGCTTTTATTTGACCTGGCCAAGTCCTTTCATTTCTTGTCCGAGATTAAAGCAGATGTTTTAGAGATGACTTGAAGCAATTATTACCAAATTCAATATCTGAACAACTCTTAGAGGTAACAGAAGATGACTTGGGAACATTACTAGAAACTCAACTGCTGGAATCTCTTATCCACTGGTACAAATATTCAAAAAATCAAAGAGGACAATCCTTCAAGAATCTTGTACCTCTCATTCACATGTCAAGTATTCCAGATTTGTACTTAAAATTTCTTGCCGAGAAAGAAAGCATTGAAGAATTAAATTCTTTCACTGGCCACCAACTCAAAGCAAAGAGTTCACTAGATGACTTGAAAAGAACTACACACTTTTACAACCTTACGATTTTTGTTTTTTCTCGTTATCCTGATTGTCCAGGAACATACTTGTGTTATTGGCTTCCATTTGCTGGTCCTTGGTCATTTATTACGTCACGATTCTGTTTCACAGCGCGGCAAGCACGCCTTTGGTTTTCACTGGTGATGCCTTGTATCTGCAGATCAACCAATTCAACCCAAAAACTCCACTTTAGGAACCCTGTAATCCTGCTTTTCGGCGAATCCCGTCGCGCGAGTCAAAACTGAAAATCCGTGAAAAAAAAGAATTGCTATTAGTGCGCCGTGCAGAGATCTAGGTGTGAGGTACACGAAAATTAGGGACTACAGACAAACCTAGAGAGTTAGATTGTAGAGCCTGCTACTTTTCGTGCGCCTCACTCCCACAGTTCCGCGCGGCACGTTAGCATCAACTTCGTTTTCAATAATTATTGTTACTCGTGCGACGGCCTTCACTGAAAAGTAGGGACTGCTCGTCGTCTGTGCCTCTCGCCGCTGTATTTTCATCGTTGGCCCGATTACAATTTGTGTTTCAGTACTGCGAATGAAAGAGGTTCCATGCTACCCACCAATCTCAGCGCGCCCTGTGCGATACATCGAGTTACCTTTTTGACAGAAAATTCCTAAGATTAGCTTTTAGTGAACGAAGGTGACCATACCCTCAAATGCCTAATGATAACAATATGAAGAGCATTTAACTCATTAAAGTGTATTTATTTCTTCGTCTAACCTTCGCCGTGATGCTTTTTATAACTCGCCACATCTTTAATTTAACCGTGAACTAAGTTGACTCAGTGGAGACTTCACCGAAGAACTGGTACCTGAAAAATCCCGTAAACATCTCGAAGAGTGGCGACCCGGACAGTGTGGCACCTTGAAGTAAGAGCAGGTTTAATTGTTGTGTTTTTGCTACATTCTTCCCACGCTTAGTACAAAAGATTTTTCGAAATATCACTTCAGGCTCAGGAAATAAGAAAACAGAGATCAATTCTCAACTGAACGTTTACGATTAAATTTGAGTCGCGGGTGAATTTGTACACAGTCCGTTCAATGTCCAAATCGGTCTGTGGCGTTATGGTTTACACACGTGAAATGCATAGATTATGATCTAAAATTAATACGCTGAGCCGGCACTGAACTGAGCTCAGTAAGGTTTGGGAGTGGTTGTATCAGCCACTTTTTTCGTTCTTAGGACATGGTTGGGCGTTCTTCATTAAGTGTGAGAGGTTTTACCATGGCAAGTGATGAAAGTTAAAGGTTTTGTCCTGAGGAGTTAAAAAAAGTGTTTCCTCAAGGTAACTCTTCATGTTTTGTTTCCGCGTAAAGTTCTCATTTGATTAATATAAACATTACCAACTGTAGCTTCGCTGATAAGACTTGTGTTTATTCTGATTTGTGGTCCGTAGAATAGTATTGAAATTACTGATTCACTTTCATGTTTGTTGCTTTTCGGAAATTTTCTGTTCATCACGGCCAAGAAACCTTTCCTAATCGTTCAAGTTTTTACTATAAAATTTAGTTCATATAGATTAAATACCCTGAAAAATGTACTACTGTGTAGATGAATGAGTAGTTTGACGGCATAAAAGGTCTCCAGCCGGTGTATCTTTGTTAAAAGCTGGCCTTCTAGAAGTTTATAAATTTAATAGACTTAGTAACCGGTTTGTCGCTTGGCGGCAGTCAACACACGGGTAAGTACTTCTTTCTTATCGTTGGCCTACATCCGATTTCCAAGGCTGTTTTTGTTTGAAAACAAAACAACCTTGAATGAAATATTACCATCATTAAAAAGCTCGGCTTTGTATCCTTAGCGTTCAAACTGATTTTCCTCTATTTCCCGGTGGGTTCCTTTATGTGCTGTTTACCCAGACAAACAAACCAACCGGAAGGCCTACTGAAAAAATGCTTCCCTGGTCGAGAAGACTGTTTTGGCAATTGATCACTTTCATGTGTCTACACATCCCGAATTGAATACCAAATTGCATGCAGTTGTGAACAAATCCCAGGTTCATGTAACAAGCTTTTCCGCAAACAAAATTGCAATCTCTGACCACCTATCAGATCGTTATTGTCTCTATCGATACAATATTTTCGGGTAAATATCCCGTGCGCGTTGCTTAGAGATGAATACCAAAGGATATTCGGACTTTGAGTAGCCAATCAGAATATATTAAGGGAGGTTATAAACTCCTTGATAATAGGCTCTTATTCAAACAAAATTTCTATTCTCCGTGTCAATTAAACCAGGAAGCAGCTGGTAATGCTTTATTTAACCGAAGAAGCTAAGCTTGGTATAGTGAGCGGGGCAATAGCGATCCTTATTCTTATGGTCGTTTGCATGGTCTGCAAGCTAAGTCGACTCCACAAACAGCCAGCTTACAAAGACTCGTCCTACCTCAAGACTACTGCTGACAAGAATACTGCTGCAAAAGTATCTGTCATCCCATTCCCAAGTTTTGCTGCTGAATGCAGCGAGTGTGAACTGGAAAAAAGAAATAAAATGAACGGAGAGATAGAGCTGCAAACTTCCCAAAGGCTCAGTCCGCCAAAAAATAAAGGAAGAATCAAATTTTCTATGGTTTATCAAAATGAAATACAAACTCTTTTGTTGACTATCATCGAGGCAAGCCAGCTGGTCGGAAAAGACTTCTGGGATAGTGTAGATACCTACGTAAAAGTGAGGCTTCAACCAGATGAAGAAGGAATTTTGAAGGGACAGACGGACGTCTTCAGGAAATCCACAAATCCAAAATTTGGAGAGAGTTATGAGTTTAACATGTCATTACAAGATATGGAAAATTCCATTCTTCATTTATCTGTTTGGGAAATTGACAAGTACTCCCGGCATCACATAATCGGAGAGGTTCAAGTTGAACTTGGCCATGTGCTCAAGGCAGATGAGTCTGTTGCCTTTGATAAGGAGCTGAGGTCATTTCAAAAGGTTTGTGGTACATTCATGAGATATACTTGACATCAAAAGATGCGAAATATGAATTGCGAAAACACTCCAAGTCAATAAGGATAACTAGAGAAACAAATGGACGAAGAGACCTTAAAGTGCACAGACAAACATAGTGAAAAACAGAAAGACAAGCAGCCATAAATACAAAACAGACGGACATATAGACTGGAACTCTTTGACTATCTGACTGACTCGCTGACTCAGTGACTCGCTGACTTACTGACTAGCTGACTGACTCATTGACTGACTGACTGGCTGACTGACGGACTGACTGAATGACTTAATGACGGCACTCTATTCCCTGTCTTCAGTAACAAACCTTCTTTCTAATTTCGCAGACAAAAGCCAATCTGGGGGAGATTTTATTCTCCCTCAGCTATATGCCAACTGCTGAGAGAATGTCAATAGTATTAATGAAGGCCAGAAACCTTAGTCCACCACTCAGCGACTGGAACACTGAGTCAAAACCAATCAGTAAGTAACTTGTGGTTGATTTGTATTCCCCTCTGTCTTGAATTCGTCATTATGTTCCTTTGTGATTGCAAAAGATCATAAGGACAAAAAAAATGTTATTTAAAATATGAAACAGGAGAACGATTGGCCACACGGAAGCTTTTTCCTGTGCTTTCGCCTTATTGACTCAGCCTGTCTTGTATAGACAAACAATGTACAGCACCGAATTAGATCTGCAGTCATTTATAGCATTTAACAAATATACACTTTTTAGTTTCATTGAAATTTTTCTAATTCCCGCTACGTTAAATACCTCCAGGAGCTTCTTTGACAACTTAACGTCTGCTGAAATTTGAAACCATTCATACAGGTTTTTTTGTTCATCTAACAGATCCATTCATCAAAGTTGTTCTTTTATTCGATGGCAAAAAAGTGAAGAAAAAGAAAACGTCCACAAGGAAACAGGAGCCTAATCCTGTTTATAATGAGTGTATGATGTTTGACGTCCCCCCAGACCTCCTCCACAGGGTTCTGTTTGTCATATCAGTAGCTGACGCTAAATCAGACTCCACAAGAAGTGACGTAATTGGTCGAGTGGTAATAGGCTCAGCTACCACTGGAGAATCCCTCAGGCACTGGCATCAAATGTTGATATCGCCGCGGAGGCCTGTCGCGGCCTGGCACCGACTCAAACTTTAAGGACACTGGTACTAGTGAAATGAAAAATTACATAATTTTGATTTAGCTTGATAAACTTGGAGGTACTTTGGACATTTTTTACACAATGAAGTTTCAGTAATTAATTCACAACAATTATCCATAGAAGACAAATTCTGGCCATGAGAATGACAACAGCAAAGTGGCACTTAGAGACTAAGATCTGCGAGATGAGGCGTGACATGCTTACTCTTATCTCATACCCAGATCCTACTGCACAACCGGTTGGCCATGAAAGGTCTGGGTACGAGACTATAGTTACACCTCACTGGACCTCAAATCATGAGGTCCTGCACCTAGGCATATCTAGTTACTTATTTTGTGACTTTTTTGGGAGCGTTAGACGAAAATGAAGGCAGCAGAACGGTAAAAAGAAGCAAAGGATTTCTCGATTTTTTGCAAGCCGTTCTTTTTTTCCCTCCACTGCTCGAAAATCCCACAATTGCAGTTTTTGTTATCATTGTTGTGCAGTGCTACCAATAGTCGGGTAGGCGGCTGTATTGTTAGTTGGGTTATATAACCGTCACTTGATACTGATCAACATTACTCAAATACTCAAAAATACTTCACTAGAGATGCATAAAAATTAGTGAGGTCCAATATCGGAAAAATTCCGTTGTCATCAATTGTTTAGGTAATTTTTTTAAAAAAGTGAGGGATTATTTCTTGTCTGGAGTACGTTGAGCAGGTAAGGGGACAAAAACGTTTATTAGTATGGTTGATATTTTGCACCTTGTTATGTGACACGTGATAGTTCCTTAGTCATTGTCAACCTGTCATCTTCTAAAAAGGAATTCAAGCTTTCAACCTTCACATAGCGGTCTTTTATATCAATTGTTTTAAGTCTGCGTATCAATCGCTGCGACCTTTGCATACATTACGTGTAACTTGAGTATCAACCAAGATGGACTTACGGCAAGCACAAAGTGTCTTTCTTTGACCGTAACTCATTTGCGTATTTCATTTCCAACCAATTATTTACTCGGCTTCTCGTCAAACCTATTTTGTATGAAGCACAGTCGATAGCGTTTTTCCAGAATATATTAACATTAGATATGAATTACGACATGCAGTTTCTCAATATGTTTTGGCAACAAATGTGTTTTTGCAATACTTCAGAATGCTTTACTTGTTTTTTCAAAATGAAAATATTATGACTTCTTCACACGATCATATCGGGTGAGAAACATTGGGGATTTGTGTGCGCGCTAAAATTTTCCAGAAACATGCTTCCATGTGTTAGCCCGGCATAACTAGTTTGTCCAGTTTTATGAAACAATATGAGGAGTAATTTGTCACATATCACTCGCATGTCCTGAATATGCTTTCCTAACTGTCTGAAATTGAATTTTTTTTCAATTTTTCTGACATTAGGAACACAGAATCAAAAAATTAACCCGGCAGATGTTCGCGACTTAGAATTTTTATTTTTTCCAACTACAACATTAACAACAACAATAACAACACAAATAGTAACAAATAATAACATGCAGTATCGCATAAACTTTGCGTTTTTACACGTGTTCTTTTTTTTCTATAAGGGTTTTGCAAGTTGCTTCTGGTCTAGACGACTGAGTCATGAATTTAAAAGACTTTTGTTACCCTTGAAGAGAAACAGGTTATGATTAGGCGGTTATTGATGGAGGTTACTAGCAGAAAATAGCTGGCGCACAAGAAACTGCCCGCAGAAGGAAATTTCCTTGTAAATTAGAACACGCTTTTAAATAACATTTAAGTTTTTAATGGTAGAATTTGCTTTCAATGATCAACTTTCCACTTTTCAGAGTAAACTTCTTCCTAAAAGTCAATTACATCAGCTTGGTGTGGTGTTTAATATATGATCGTGAGAGTCCGCACAGGAAACCCAGTCAAATTTGTTCGAACCGTCGTGGAATGTTTTCCAATCGACGACGATCTGAAGTCAATACTTACGATATTGCTCATAACTGTGTTGCTGAGGATCTCGATGAAAGGATATTTTCGCAAGACACTAAATTGCTGGTTAATTTGCATCTGAATAAGGGGAACACAGCCTCGATACGTGGATAGGTGGGCGTATTAAATATCTATTTGTATTTTAAATTCCTGTCTCCATTTAACAAAACACCTGTCATAAAACATTTGCACTCTTGTAATGCACAGGATATAAGTAATGAGGTGCATCATTACAGCCAAAATTAAAACTTCAGGGCCACGTAAGGTGAATCTTTTGAACTGTGATCCGGTCGCGTACGCGCGTTTTATTTGTGATCAACATTGACTCAAAGAAATTTTAGAAATCGCCACTGTCATTTGAAGTAAACTGCTGCAAAGTTTAGACTAGACTTGCATAAACTTTAAATCTTCGACAGACGGAATCATGCAGTGTTTACAAAGGTGAGTGTGATTTATTCTGTGGTCTCTTAGAGTGATGATAAGGGGGTTTAAACTTAAATGCTCCCTTCCTAAAACTCTATCACTTATGAGTCGCTATATTGAAGAAAAACAACGAAGTCATTTAAAACATCTGAAGCAAGAATGCTTGATGCAAACAGACACAAAATGGAATCTAGCTGTTTTTGAGAAACAGTAAACAAAATTGTCATTACTTTTTTTTCCCGATCCCATTGTTCATTAATCTCTCAATGCGGAAAACTAACCCAATCGTGCGTGAAAAACTCATCTAATAAAACTTCTCGCCGACTGTGCCATCAATTTGCACGGCATCTATCTAACATAACAATTGCAATATGCAGTAATGTGGAACAAATGTTCCGAGCTGAACATCCCTTCTCGAGGTCGATTAAATATTTAAAAGTTTATCTGCAACTGACAACGTTAGATCAGACTAAAAAAATGCCCTCGACCGCATGTTGTTGAAGCAACATGGCAGCCTTCAGATAGTAATATTTAATTCTTATTCGAGAAGAACTGTTTAGATTTACAAAGCTTGGCTTTTAGGGAGGAATGAGTTTTCTAGTGAGAGTCTTTATCTCGAAGAAATCACCAGCGTAATTACAAAGTGAAGATAAACATATTGGATACCATTTTACTGACCGGTAACGTATTGACTTGTCAGATTCAGTTTGTTTCACGCATTTAAAGTCAGTAAACGTGTGTTGCATGCGTTAACGTTCTCATATAGGAATTTTTCCGGTGGTAACTTTTTTACTGCTTTGTTCTTAAGTAGCTAGCGGAAGGGCGATATGGAATCGCTTTATTACGCCTGTGGTTTCTGACAATTTCTAGAATGTAATCACGCATGCAATTGATTGCGATCTAGGGAAAATCAATATAAAATTTCCTGTGAGAGAGAGGATGAAATATCTCGCGATTAAATACTCGTACTTATAACCTTGCCGAATACGGAAGTTGATTTACGGATTAGATGAGCTTTTTTCCAATCTAGGAATATATTTTTTCATTTATGAAAGCGGATTGAACGGGCGAATGACAACCAAACAATATGACAACAGTATCCTATATTGTCACAAGAATAGTAATCTATATCATTGCTAACATTTGAAATTTTTCCAACCTCCGGAAAGCTTTTCCTTATGGGAAAAAATATTATGTTAGACTCTGCTCTTCGCCAAGTAGAACCGTACTTAGGTTTTATTTCCCATCGGCTCTCGCACCAGTCCTTTCCGTACTTGTTTAAAAATCGGCGCGGCAAAATGACACATAAATCTGTTTAGTCACTCTCGTTATCATGATTATTCTATTGTGTTTCGTTTTGATAAGCGAACGACGGAAAAAAAAACTGGCAAGTGTTCATACCATTGGTGAGTAAAACACTTTTAAAATAACGGATCGTAAAATTATTTAGATATTGTTTTGTAGCTATCATTCGCGTGTAAGCCTGAAGTGGTTTGAAACGACCCGTGTCAAATGAATGCAAATTTCTAATTGATGTAAACCAATTGAACACCTCACGAATTTGTTTATATTCTATTGTTGTGTTTGAAGTTTAACGGTTTTTAGTGGACTGTTTTACGAATAAGGAATTGCTCTGAATACTAGCTACATCCAGGCTGGGCTTGATGCCTAAACTTAATTTTAAAATCAAGGGCTCCGGTCGTACGATTTCATCCATCTGTTTGGAACAATGCGCAAAGAATTACTAGTACAGTAAGTATTAGTTATCTTCATTCAGATCACTTGGAGCTTGAAATGTTTGCATTGTTCTCGACTAAGCTGCATGAAGATTTGAACAGATTTTGTACCCACACTTGATGAAATAATGTCTACATCTACACGCTTAGTGTTTCCTAAATATTTCCACCAGAAACAATTTTAAAGTGATGAGTTCCTCGGGTCTGGTTCTAGAATATCACCTAATTTCTTGCACTCGGGCCCTTGCTCTGGCAAAGGGTAAAATACTTCTAGCAAGCGGGGAGGGGTGGAAGCAGGCGAGATTAAGCTTGCAAAACGAAACTAGTGGATTGGTTAGTAAAAGGAGGGGAGATTTCATTACAGTTGTAGCTTGACTCTCCACGGACTTAGACATCTCTTTGTGATTTTTTGTTTTTTCCGAGATAAAATATTACATTCTAAATCAATAACGCCACCTATAACTTAAAAACAGTACTACACCATTGCATGCAAGAATCACCTTACTTACAGTGGATAGATAAATAAGTAGGTAAATGAATACAACAAACGAATAAATAAAATATACTTAATATATACATCTTTAAAACCCCCAACAGTATTAAACCTTTTGGCACAACTTGAAATTTCACCTATAACTTTTTATTTTGTGTGGCAATGAAACACTAGGTAGTTACACCTTACTCACACATCCAAGAAAAAGTTGCCCATGTTTCCTTGAATTTATCAAGTTGGTTGTTTTTACTAGCTTAAGTGCAAAAAATGAGCTGTACATCTTTCAGATGCAAAATAAAGCTTTCAAAATCCAAGATACCAATGCAAATATTTTTGGCAAAGATATGATATTTGGCAATCATAATCGCTGTCCAAGTGATTTAGTCACAGTCATGGTGCCAACTTTACAAGATTACACTCTCTGAAAAATTCATGTGTTGCATGATGTAGAAGTGTCCTGTTGGTTTTAGAGACTGGCTTACAACCTCGTAATATCCACTTTTTGCCAAAAGTGGTTTTAACTCAAGAACAAATCTGATTGCACCTGGTATAATAATCTCAAAGGGTACATCTGAAAGGAGAGGATGTTACTCAAACCTGTGAAAGCACACTTGTTTGATTGTATGACTGACATCACATTATATTCCAATTTCAGCACCACTGAGATCATATGGGAATTACAACACTTACCAACCGAACTGTGAAACACAACAAAAGTGACAAAGAAGACAACAAAGAGCCAAAGACAAGTTCAGCAGTAAAAGCAACCACTACAACTACTACTACCACCACCACCACCACAACAACTACTTTAGCCACTACAACACCTACAGTAAAGCCGCCAAAAAGAATGACTCCAGTGCCTAAGGAAGCATCTTTTGAAGGAAGTATGCCTCAATTTCCTGCTTTTTTAAAGGATAGACTGTGTTGGGATACATAATTAATTCATGGTCCTAAGCATTTTATTTGCCAAATGTTCAAGAAATCTAAACATCAAGTTTTGACTCATTCTATCCTTCTACTTGTTGCTAGATCAAGATGAATTAAACACAACTGTAACATACTAAATTTAACTAAATTTGCTTGAATGATGAAAAACTAAAATCCACATGAAGAACTAGAACTAAAATTGTTCTTTATCTTTCTTTCACAGTACCATGGTGGGCAGTATTTGCAGCTGTTGGGTTAGCACTCCTTATAGCTGGCATTTGCTGTTATTGTGTCTGCTACCGTCAATGTTGCAAAAGGAAAAAGAAGGATGAGAAAAAAGCCATAAAGGAAAAAGTTGACCTTAAAGCCGTACAAATGTTGGCAGCCAGCTACCAAGAGAAAGTTCAGCCATCTGTAGATGAGTTAGATTACAACAGTGATGAATTCCAGTCTGATGGTAGCTCAGGAGTAAAAATAGGTAAATAATAATAATAATAATAATAATAATAATAATGATAATAATAATAATAATAATAATAATAATAATAATGATATTAATAATAACAATAACAATAATAATAACAACTTGATATCTTTCATTGATACATAACTTTTTGGGTTTCTAATATCATTTGAGAATTTCTTTATTTTATGAATTATTTTAGGCTATGGTAATGACAAGCTACATGATTGTGCCTTGTCAATATCTTATTTAAGGAGGCATCCTTACATTTCACTGCCACACAATAATAATGAATTGTTATGTATGATTTCCTAAAAATTTGAACATTACAAAAACATGGCTGGTGATGATAATATTGAAAGAACCTTTACCTAAGAAGTGAAAAGGTTAAATACAGGCTAGAGACTGATGTGAGTGATAACATAATACTGACAGACATGGCATAATAGTGATATACAGGGCTTAAATGTTGATTATTTTTTCCAGGTCGCATTCACTTCACCCTTGACTATAGCTTCAATGATAACTGTCTCACAGTTGGAGTAGTAGAAGCTCAGGATGTCCCTGCTAAAGATTTCAGTGGAACTTCTGATCCATATGCAAGAGTTATGCTGTTACCCGACAGGAAAAAGAAATTTGATACTAAGGTAACAAACAATCCAACTTATCTTAGGGAAAAAGTTTTGATAAAATTACAAACAGCTCACTAAAATTGCCTGATCTTCCTTCCTGGTGAAAATTCTGCAATAATCCAAAGTGGGTTTCAACAGGGACTGCAGTTGCATAGTAGACATGGTAGTTATTTCCAGTTCCATTTAACCAAATAAAAGTTGTGTGGAGAGAAAGGAACATGACAATTTATTTTTTCTTGCTTATGCCCTATGCCTTTTCAAAGCCCACACTTTACTCTTGTTTCTCCTGCTTGGCTGGAGGAAGATGAAAAGACTCCTTCTCAGGCTAGGACCTCAGCGTGTTCCCAATGGGGTCCTATCATTTAAAGTCCACTTGGTCTCAGTTCACCTTTGAAAACCCTCAAAAGACTTCAACCTGAAACAAACTGATTCAACTGGCACTTCTCTCGAACAACTGTCTGTTTGAGCACAAGCCATCCATACCATGAATAGACATCATGATGATACTGAAAACAATCATTTCTGAAGTTGAGGAAAGTCTTACCCACTCATTAACATTTCAAATTTTAGGTTCACCGGAAGACTCTAAATCCAGTTTTCAAGGAAACATTTGTTTTCAAGAATATTCCATACAGTGACATAACAAACAGAACTCTTTGTATAGAGTTGTATGACTTTGATCGGTTCTCTAGACATGATATCATTGGAGACGCCAAGCTCCCTCTAATTGATGTAGATTTAGCAACTAGCATTGACGAATGGCGAGCTTTAATTCCACCATCATCTTCAGGAGGACTTACTGGGGTGAGTTCCCACATCACTGCTGTATAAAAAACAACACTTACACATGTAATTTGTTCTTGTAAATTGTTTAAAAAATATCCCCTCTAGTGTGAGTCAAACCAGCTAGTATAGCGAAAAACATGAAGTCAGAACTTCCAAGAAACAAATTGCTTTGAGTAACAGAGTAAGGTATTTGAAGTTTGGTCTTCCAGATTTCAAATCCAATGCCTTTAACTACTATAAAACGATGCCTTCATTTTATTTCACTCACTACTAAAGCAAACAGACTTCAACCTCTTACATTAATTTTACCGAATTTCTAAATTTCACCCCTTGATCTTCTTGTGTTGAATCTTTTCTAGCATTCCAAGTCTGAACTAGGACAGCTTTGTTTCTCATTGCGTTATGTCCCTGCTGCTGGTAAACTTCAAGTAGTAATATTAGAAGCTAAAGATCTTAAAAGTATGGATGTATCAGGTTTTTCAGGTAAGAGTATTAAAAGACCTCTAGTTATGCATCTCTTCCACAGTTTAGATAACTTTGAGGGGTTTAATAAACCCTTTAACTGCCAAGATCTGATTGGTAATTCTCCCATCTAGCGGCAACACAAATCCTTGTAAATTAGTTACAAGAATTTGGTGTTAGATCAAGACAAAAACTTCTACCCAATAAGTTTGAATAACTTCTCACCAGCTGTTTGCTGGATAATGTAAGGATATTATCAGGAGAAGTTTCATGTTGATCACTTCTGGGAGTTAAAGGGTTAAAACTGGTTTCTTAATAGTCACCCTTGCTAACATTTCAGTGAGGAACCTGTAACAAAATGTTAAGCCAAAGCTGCTACTTGCTTCAAAGACAAGGCTTTGCATTCAACTTGTTTCAAACTTGCCATTTGACAAGCTGAAACTACAAACTTTTAGTTGGTGGAGAAAAAGTTGGAGGGCATTTCATGCAATATTAGATATAATCAATTTTAAGCAAATGTTTAGTGTATTTTAACTTCAGTATATGAACAATGCCTGTTACATAATTGATATAGCTATTTTAAAGGCTGACAAACACTGGTTTACACAGTTTACCTTTGGACCATGATAAAAATGTTATAGCTTGTTCATAGACCATGAAACTCTAGATGCCAAATTTATGACTTAACAATAGACTTCAAATCAAATTACCAAATTGTTCATTAACTTGCCCTGGTGACCAAAACAGTTGCAGTTTGGAACACTGAAAAATGGTCTGTGTAAGGTTTAACAGTTAAATAATAATTAAGTCAAGTTATTATGAATTTGGTAAGATTGCTCAGAGACTTGATGAATGTCTCAACCCATACAATACACTGCACTAAAGATTATCCTAAAAAGTAGTCAGAATTGTTGATCGTTGTTAGGGACTGAAGACTTCAATGAAATAACTTAGGCAAATGTTTCTTTGAAACAACCAGACTCCAAGTTACCTTCTTGAAATTACAGATCCTTATGTCAAAATAGCCTTGATTCAAGATGGACGGAAACTCAAGAAGAAAAAGACAACCGTCAAGAAGAGAACACTTAACCCTTACTTCAATGAGAACTTTAGTTTTCAAGTTCCCTTTGAGAACATAGAGCAAACATCTTTGATAATCTCTGTGTTGGACTATGATCGTGTTGGTCGCAGTGAAGTCATTGGAAAATGTGTTGTAGGTGAATTATCAACAGGTCCAGATCAGCAACACTGGACAGACATGCTGGCATCGCCACGGAGAGCAATTGCACAGTGGCACACTTTACATAATTAATGCTTGTAGTTTTTTCACAATAGAATATACAATAAAATATATACACCGTAAGTGTATGAAGAAGTTCAAGCTTTACATAACACTGTAAAATGAATGTAATGTAAATCTGAGGCCCTTTACTGTAATGTTTCAATCAGTAGTAACATGGTGGGTTGAGTGTGTTCATTTTCCGAAAAAAAAAAAAAAAAAATTCAATTCATGTAACAATATAATTAGACAAAGATGACATACATTCATCATTTTTTGATCCACTTTCATTACAAGTGGTGTGGTGTAGTTTTTAAGAGAATAGTTCAAATGAATTGCAAGAGTCTTAACATTGCATCTCTGAGAGCAGTAGCAAGTTTCAGGTATTAAACTTATTAGAGACATAAAACTATATTATGATTCATAGAGGCTTTCCCCTCTTGCAGAGATCTTTTTGGGTTACAAATTCTTGAAAGGGACACAAAACATAACTGTTTGAATTGGTTTTAAGAAATATCATATGTAATAATAGGAGTAATCACGTGGAATTTTGATTTGGAGTGTTCATTTCGGTTATTTTCAACTCAAACTTTTCCACTATTGCAATCATTTTCAATAAGCTGTTTTAATAAAAAAAATTATGTATGTACTAGCTTGAAGAGCGATAACCCTTAACTTTCCGAAAACCAGCCTGAATGTTCACTTCCATGCTTGATCAAGAGAGATAAATTATCATCTCTGTGCTGTCCAATCAGTCCAAACGTTAGTGTTCCAAGTAACCCAGTCTGTATCATTCCTTGCACACAAATATAATTTTTAGGTAACAAACTTGAATGATTTTAGCTTCCAAGCACCAAAATTCCTTACTTTTGACCCCTTATAGAAAATTATTCTGGCTGGTCCCAAGATATGAAAAGCTGCCTGGAAAGCTACAGTCTCAGACAAAATTTCTTGCAACAAGATTGAGCCTCACAACTCCTGAATGTCCTTGCTCCCCTCATTCAGTGTAGCAATAAAGCATGACAGTATCACATATAAACCACACTGAGAGGCTGGATTGTTCTGAAGGATGATCATGCAAGGTGATCAAAATAATTTTCAATGGAGAAATGTTTCACTCATTACATAAAATGCCTCAAAAGGTTGTTAGAGATGTTGGCAAAATTAAAAATAACATGTTTGGGTAATGACTGTTTCTGCTATTCACAGGTATATGCAACTTCAACGAAACCACAATGATCTTTATACTGATCTGTGGTACCATGTATATGCTTCACTGTTAAATGTTACAGAAAAGCAAAATGGGAACCAAATCTAAAAACAAAGCTCATTTTAGCAGAAAACTGTGAAAAAAAAATGCTAAAAAAGATCATAAAACCCCTAAGTCAAAACTTTTTGGTGAAAAAAGAAAAACAACCCAAGAAATGTTCAAAAGATCCTAATAAACTTCTCTATGGGGAACTTAGGAAGATGTTTTCTTAATTGTACAGAGATGAATTTATGTCTTCCATACTAACAGAAAAGCAAACAAACCAAGACAAAATATTCCACATAAAGTACATGATATATTTACAAAATTACTTCATCACTGCTGTAGATACATCAAACCACATTAACACTATCCAATTTAATCTCATCACAATTGATTAGTCCCCCTTTGCAATAATTGTTGCATCCACTTCCATTTTCTCACTTTAAAGTTAGGTACCTCAGCTCTCCACAATACAAGCAAAATGTTAATAGATAAACACTTTATCAATGATGTTCCAGTCCCTTCTTTCTTGCTTTCTCTGCATCTTCCATTTCAAACATAACTTTGTGCCCCTGCAAACATAATGCAAAGACATCCAGTTGACTGCTGACCACACAAATTCTTGCAACTAAAAGTTTTGAGCTGCATCTAAAAACTGTTCCAGAGAGGGGACTGTTGAAGTATAGGTAGTGATTAAAAATCAATTTCAGGTCAAACGAATCTACTTTAGTTCCATCTGTTTTCTCCTTTGTTCTTGGTACATTTCCATGGTCTTTACACAAAGATGAAGAATAAGTGATTTAGAAAAATATTTTTAAAAAAATTGCCATAAAATATTTCATAAAAACATTATAATACACTCAAAAAGCTAAAAAAAGGCTAGTCAACAACATTTCAACATAAACATAACATCATTATCAAGGCAAAAAATGATAAAATTATTCTGCTACAAATAAAAACAGCAATAGGTACTGATTAAAACATTTAATTATAAATAAATAATATAAATAATTTCAAGCTAAAAGAAACATTTTGCACCCCTGGAGTCCACTTGCACATTCAATTTTACTTTCAGTTTTCTTTTATAGCATTTCAAACACTAAACAAGCAAAGAAAAAAAACACAAAGAGAAAAAAAAACATGCAAATCAAACTCCTGGTAGCTTAATATCATTTTCAACCTGAAATCATATTAAACTACAACAGGTACATCAATCAAATAGGAATCAGCTGGACTAAAGGAGCTCACAACTTCTTTTCCAGAAACAATAGAACCAGGCCTCCACAGACTCAACAAACTATTGTACCTAACTACATTCATAATTACAAAAAATAATTAAGAACAAAAACCGCAACAAGCTGAGAATAACAGACTTAAAGGGAGAAAAAAATTATCAACCACACAACACATTTCCTATTCAAAGTAAAAATTAACTTGAGTCATCAACCAACTAATAGATCTTGTTTAGACTCAGTTCAGTTGTCACATTCTAGTACTGTACTCCACAAGGCCCAAGCATGTGCTTACCACTATGTCTGCCCAGTCATGTTTTGCTCTCCACAGCATCCAGAAAACCATTGTCCCACCCATAAGCTTAGACAGAAATACATGGACTTTGCTTGGATGGGGCAGAACAGTTCGTGACATATTCCTAGGAGAGAGAGAGCAAGTCTGAGTGCATGACTATCTTTTCTAAAAGTGCCTATAACACTAAATTTTTTTTCTTTTTCTGGTTGATAGCTGTATCTAAAATTTGAAACAATTGACCTAGCGAGTTCTCCTTGACCATTTGTTGCGTATTGAAAGTACAATTTCGCAGCTGAAAAGTGTCGCTATCTAGCATGCAGCCAAAATGATCATGTCACATAGCTGTGACATAGAAAACTGTGAATACACTGCAGCAACTAAGGTGGAGAAAGGAGGAATCAAGAAGAGAGGCAAAACATCAACATCATTGTAGGGGTTTCTTCATGTGCAAGATTTTTTCATGCTTGAAGAGCATGGGCCACTTTTGTAGGGTTTGTAGATCCACTTGTTGAAGTCAGTCTTGTTATACATTGTTTTGTGAAGCTGTATAGCCTTGATAACTGCAGTTTTGATCATCGACATCAAGGAGATCTTACTACTTCAAAGTCATTAGCCATATGCTCTGTCACAGCTTTGAAGACAGCTGTTACAACACATGCTACTGATCAAATCAGATGGCCTATGAATTCAGCTAAAAAGAATGCCCATTAAGGGACCTGTTTCCAAACTGGACACTGTTGTTCCACATACTTTTCGGCTGACATTTTGCAAGCAAAGAATGGTGAGCTTCTTATTGTTGTTTATTTTACACCCTTGAGACACTCAAGGAGATGAACAATTTGCAATAAAAATAGCTATTGACTTCTCAGTGAAAAATCATTGTGCTTTGTGATACAGCCAATTCTTTTGATGTTGCCATTTAAAGTTAGTTTTTAGTTTGCTACATTAATTTCTCAACAGTAACAAAATTCTAGAGCACTGAGCAAGGGTAATGTATGATATGTTACGGAAACAGAAAGGAACACAGCTACCCATTCTTAACATAGATTTCACCACAGAAAACAAAACAGATATGACAAACTAAACAATCAGTAACAAAAAAATCTTCCCTTGATGCACACAGTTCTCCTTTGTAGGGCTGAACTGTACTCACAACTTCCACTTCTTACTATTTTACTACTTGAGTATGATGTATCACAACTCTTGGTAGAGCTTGCTGAAGGTAAGGGTACACCACTATTGGACATTATTTCAAGAGTATTTCAACAAAAGTACATGAGATGTGAGAGACTTCACAGTTTTCTTTGTCATCACCTGGTAACTCCTTACCAGTCTACAGGACACTTAAAGACAAAATAAGGGAACTTTTAGACCCGAAAATGACCGTGAGATTTTTCCTTCTATCAGAATTGGCTTGTAAAATTGATAAGCTTAATAAATACGCCAAAAAATTTCGTGTCACACAAACGTTAACGTACATGAAGAAACAGCGCTCTCAGCTCCCTTCCATACACGTTAATAAAATTGAGAAGGCTTGCCTACAGGCATATAAAATAACAATAATAAGGTCTGCCATTTAAGATAAGAGAACTGTACAAATACTTTTAAGTTGCTACTAGTAATCATAATTTTGTTCTTCACAAGTAACTTTTAAGCTGTTACCTATCTTACCATCAGTTTACAGGGTAATTCAGACCATATAACCGATGAAATAGAACAGGCTAAATAGCACAGGTTAAACAGCACAGGTTAAACAATATTTGAGAACAGTTATACAACCATATGCACAAAATCCTCTTCATATGTGCATCAACGGAGTGAAAATGTTCCAAATTATGAAATTTTAAGGCCTGTTTGAAAGATAAAACATATTATGTCACATACTTATCTGCCTCAACGTATTAATAGCCCAAATTAACTACTGACGATCCTACAAACGCTCAAAACTCTCTACCACTTTCAATATGGCGGCGATACTACTAGTACTAGCTACCAGACCTCTCACGAAATTCTAACAAAAGCAAGCCAGCCTCCCCAGTTCTTCTCCTGTATTGAGAGAAATGAAGCAAGTCCTGTTGCAATATTTATGCTCTTGGTTCCGGCATTTCCTCCATCAGTCAACCCAGTTATATTGATATATCATGCGAATCTTAAAAATGAGTTGGGAATATTCACCAGCTCTGTCTGGGTACAAGACTCCCAACGAAGAAACGGCCACGCGCTAAATTCCTCAAAGATGCCAGAGGAGTTTGTAATCGATTGGCAGAAATACGCGCGGTGAGGTCGCTACCCCATGGATTGTTCGTGGTCAATCTCAAGTACGGAAAGCATATCTCAATACCAAATGGAAAAGGAAATAAATACCAGGAAAAGGTGCTTAGTGTCGGCAAGTGTCGTTCAAAGATGCCAGAGGAGTTTGTAATAGATTGACAGAAATACGCGCGGTGAGGTCGCTACCCCATGGATTGTTCGTGGTCAATCTCAAGTACGGAAAGCATTTCTCAATACCAAATGGAAAAGGAAATAAATACCAGGCAAAGGTGCTTAGTGTCGGCAAGTGTTGTCTCATCTCAGTGGGGGTACAGAAGAGACCGCTTTTGAAGCATTTAATTATTGTTTTGAAATGATTAATGTGTTCACCGCCTAGCTGTCAGCTCCTGAATCTTGCGAAAATATTTTTAAAGCTTTTAAGTTAACTTGATTCATTCTTTTGGGAAAATGGGGCCATTAGACTCAGTTGTTCTGATTCGGGTGGGTAGGATATAAAATAAAACACAAACTGGCACGAAGTCTTTCGTGAGCTATCTTCTACACTTCAAAATCACGATTGTTATGTACATACATTTCTAACCGCAGACAAAACAAGTTAAGAAATTGATATTAAGCTAAGGGCGTTAAGTCGGTGACCCGATGCATATAAAACGAACCTCACAAATTGTCAGTGTGTATGTCTATATCGACCCGTCACGGGTAATTAATAATTTTAGAAAAAAGGGTGCGTTTTCTCCATGTTAGTTAATACTGTTCATCTGATATCACATTAATTTATATCCGTAATCCTATTATTTTCTTCAATCTAACAGTAAGCAAATCGGCGTGTTTCAGTCACCCTTTGTTTTCCCAGCCATTTTCGTGGCATTACTTAATTCAGCCAGGAATCGAGAGACAGGAGACAGGTTTTCTGAGACGACCAATTTTTTCCTGAGATTGAGTTGGCACGAGATTGATTAGTTACTTCCCTTCGGCCGAAATCAAATAATTTTACTTTTCTCCCAAGAGAAACCTCTTGAAAAACCTTCTCTTAACTTCCAACAATTCTGCCCTCACCTGTAGGACATAAATTGGTGGCTTAAAAAGTTTATTTTCTTTACCCATCATTCCTAACAGGAGGAGGAAACATGGAAGTGATACCGTTGGCTGAGTACAAGAAACAAATACAAGAATGAACGTTCTCATGTCGCCACTTAGATACATTGTTGTTAAATTGAAGAAAATCAACAGTTTTATGACATGAAAGGAAAAAAAATAGGAAAGGTAACTATCTCTAACATTCAGTCAGCTTTTACTGATAAAAATAATGATAAAAATAATGATGTCTACAATCTTATCAACTTGGATTGGTGGCTCGCCGTGATTTAAATGATTTTTCGTCACACGCAAATTCCTGCCTTACATTTATGATACTGTATCCATAGATACTTGTCTATCTATCCTAATAATAGTGTTGTTTTACGTATTCAGTTAACAGCTGAGAGGCAAGTTTCCGTTATGTACCCGGTATGGAGAAACTCGTATCAGCTTCCCAATCCAGAGTAACCGTTCTATCGTTAACGAATGGAGCCTTTAGCCATCGGTCCATGACTGCAAATGAAAAAAATAATTGCATCCCTCGTGAAGTTCAATGAGATCACAGTTGAATGCACTGACGCTTTCACATCGCAGAGAAAAGATTTTAAAACACCCTCTTCAAAACGTGGCGAGGGTGACAAGTTTTTCTATTGTTCTGGAAAATAAAATTCGAATTCAGTGAAACTGAATAGAACTTAGTTAAAGGAAACTGCATTGTTAAAATTTTAAATTGCAAAGTTCTATGCTTCATCGCTTAGGTAACGAGTCAAAAGTGCAACACGTGTTTTCTTTTTCACTCCTTATATAGCTTTGTCCTCTGTGTGTGATTAAAACCTGCTTATTTGATTAAGGAGCTTTAAAACAATGGCGTCAATATAATTTGCGTCAACTTAAGGAAAAAAGAAAGGTGGTGTTATTTAACCGAACATCGATGAATGAATGATCTTGAAAGAGATCCGTAACGTTCTCCAGGTGAATAGATGCTTCGAGTGAGGTCTTCTTTCAAAGGGTTCTGAGTTTGTCTGGTTCATCATTGTAGATTTTAGTGATGTTTTAAAGTTGATGAATTGGCTAAATAAAATTTAGCATAGTTTATAAACGGGTAGAACACGTTCTAAGACTCAGGAATTCATAACTTTTCTTGGAAAAAACTACCGCGATGCGAACTGCGATTCCTTGCACTTTGCGAGAGCAAACTTTTGCGGTTTGAGAGGATAGATGTTTGAACTACTAAAACATTTTTTGCAATTTTATGTTCAAAGGCTGTTTAAGCTGAGCTCGAAATAAACCCAGAAGGAAATGTAATATTTTCAACTTTTATTACCCGTTGAGTAAAAGCACATTTTATTCATAATTAACTGAGTCACCTTTCCCGGTTCAAATCAAATCGTGTTGGGAAGGTAATGCCTTTCCAACCAAAAGACTGACACAACAACAAAATCAAACAAAACATGATCCTCTTCTTTTGCCATGCGCCATCTGCAAAATCTGCAAAAGCAAAAACCCGAAAATCTTGAAACTCACTCACTAAGCCGCTTGCAAAAAAGATGGAGAGATATTTGATGTTGCTTCATATTTCCATGTTGCACGATAAAATGATAGGCGGATCTTTGTCAGGCTAGAGAAAACATAAACGACAGCTTGTAACCAACTTGTGTGAGAGGTTGTTGATATTTAGCCGAGCTAAAAAGAGGACTGGAGACGACTTCCCAACTGACTATGCTTTACTTTTGGTTGTCTGACCGGCGTTGATGATGAGGAGCTGATTACTAGTTTGAACAATCTCGTTTTTTTCAGGGACAAAGTACACCATAAGCTACCCTATTCTTGGTGCCACTGATGATAGAAGTTTCTTTCTGTAGTTACTTTGGCGGAGGGTTTCGTGCTTAGAGTAAGATTTTTTCTTAAAGAGCTCGTTATATTTTTAGTTGTTTTATTTTTCTATTTTGCGCCTCGCAAATTTATTAAGATACGGTGGAGGTCCTAACAAAGGCGTGTAATAGTATGCCGGAATCACAAAGAAACAAGGTTAGTAAGCATTGGAGAAGGTAGTAACAAAGAGCCAAACTGAAATTTTTTTAGTTCTTAAGCTTACAAACCGTGACGCAGCTTTATTGATGTGAACGATGCGTGCAACAAGCGAGCGGAACTACCTCCACAATAAAGTGGACATTTAAAAAAGTCTTTCAAAACCACATAGGTATGCAATACGTGCGCATTATATGCTTGGTTTGATTTGTCAAAACCGTAGTCCAGTGTAAGACAGTTGCACTTTTCAAGTCAAGCAATGGACGCAGACACTGCAAAAAGTTTCTTCCCAAGCTAATTATTACAAGATTTCCCAAATTATGAAACGACTAAATAAATTTTATGAATCCGGAAAAAAGTATTAGACATGAGCAGATGAGCTGAGGCAGTTTTACTCTTTTATCATTGACTCCGATATTAGCCGTTCATCCTAATTACGTTTCTAACGAAAAGCCTAGGAAGATGAAACCTGGGCGAGGTCGAAAAGGTGTAGGTAAGCCGAGAGTAGGACCATGTGCTCACCAGCTGCGGTTAAAAGCCGCGCACGCTTTGCAGCTCAGATCTACGAGTAAACTTGCTTCTGGTACCAGATTTTGGTTCTATTATTCAGTCAGTGGACGCGTGAATCATAAAAAAAAGAAAAAAAATTTAACGGGGCCTTTTCATCAATCACTGGCAAATTATGCGAGAGTTTTTTTTTTTTTTTTTTTTTGAACAATAGTCATTATAAAGACCACTGACTGAGAACCTCGCTGTCTCCACACGTATGCTTTCTAGATTATGCTTTCTATCCTGTTCATTATTTGCGAAAACATTCAAAGTAGCCCTCAAATGAGCTCAGGACCCCCCTGAGTTGTTTAGTTAACCAAGACAACGTCAAGTAAAGAGATAGATAACACTAAATATATTTCCAATGGCTCTTAAAATATTTTCTTGAAATCTGTTTTTCTGCGTAGGCATGTTGCTCGTGCAAAGTAAACAAACCGTTAATTGAACTTATTGGCGCGCGTGCCGCCTGATGACACAATTTCACTCAAAGCTGCTGATCTGCCACATCCCCATGGACTTCCAACTTATTATCATAGCACGCGACTTCAGGCAGTTGTTGCTTAAGAAAACCACGTGTCCCTGGAGACTGAAAACTTCAATGCTTCACAGACACAATGAGCCAAACGTCTAAGAACATAAGACGAAAGATTGATTGTTTGTCTTACATTTTAGACCCAACATCTACTATGAAGAGGTTATGCTATTGAAATCGACATCCGAAGGTCTTGGGTAATTCTTGATCTTGGCAATTCCTCGTGGGGTAGTAAGAGTCTTTTTTTTATCCCGCGCTTATGAAAAAATGATTAACATATCTGAGCAACACCTAGAGCATTTGCCGATGACACTTAGTTTAATTTGTCTAGCTCTCTTTGAAACTGCATTGATTTGATGCCGAAATACATCACTTGGGATCCTCCATATGCCGTAGTCTTTTTTTATCCCAAAACGTAATCACCCTGAAAGGTTATATTTCATGGCTCTGACATGTTACTTTTGTTTAACTGACATACTACTTGTCATGGGCAGCAAACAACAGCTATTCATCAGTAACACAAAGTACTGCAAATAATTACATATAACCTCTTATACCTTATAATTAACGTCGCACGTGTCTGTATTGTTCGTCGCTCTGATTGCTTTTTTAAGCTCGCCATTTAATTTCAACCAAATTTCAACAATATTTTTTCCCCTCACCAGACCCAGTAGAATCGCGCGATCAGTGCAAATTTTTTGACGTGATTTTTCCCAGGATTCAAAAACGGGGGTGATAGTCGTTGTCTAGCTGGTACAGTTTCAATCTCTGGGCTAGTTCATTAGGCTAACAAAAACTAAAAGTTATTCCTCTCCACGGGGCAACTACTCAAAGATGTACTCCGCTTTTTCTAGAAACAGGAAAGTTGCACCTGTGAACCACTTAAAAAGTGAACTAAACACATTTTTTAAAAGATCTGCTCCAACACGCCGCTCCTATGAAGCGGATAACTAAAAAAGCTGGCTGTAGTCATTGTTTTAATTCTTTCATATCTTCCTTTTCATTAAACACGACTGATTTTGGTTTGGAACAAACAAAAGCTAACTTTTTGGTATGTTATTAAAGAAATGTCAGTTTTTTTGGGGGAAACGATCGCTAACCTTTCGAGTTGGAAATGCAACCCATACCTGAACTGGAAGCCGCGACACGGAGTAACATTTTTTCAAAAGTTAACCACCATTTTCTTATGCTGTCTCATGCAGTTACACTAAATAGGAACTATTTTCTTAATTAAGGATATGGCATGTGTTTGATTGCTTTGGGAAATGAATCTTTATGAAGTTACGAACTCGTTTGTTTAGCCCGCAATTCTTGTAAGCCTAACGCCACGTGCAGCCAGTTAGAAACAAAGAACTTAACGGACAAAAGTTTACATTGAAGAAAAATGCAATTTATTCCAAAAAAAGAAACAAACAGTGCTCATCATACAAGCTTTAGCGACCATAAACTGATTTTAACGATCTAGAGAGGAAAAGTAGCGTCCAAAAGCTTTCTAATTCGTTGTTTAGTTGGATTATTTGAATCTTGTGGCTATGTTGCCGATGGCTGGAATGTTACAAGTTTTGGTGGTAATGCGAATGGTGGCAAATTGCTCAAAGGTCTATTGAAATGTTAATACACACGTGTCGGTTTGATTGATAACATCTGCAGTCTACAACTTTAAATCATGTCTTTGTACGTCTATTTCAACCGAGGATGTGACTCAGAGCATAAAATTTTACTGATAAATTTGAGCGCTTAAGAAGACGATATTTATGCCTCTCCGTTGCTGACGACGAAAGTTCTCAAAATTATGTCAACATGATTCTCGTGCCTAGTACCATCACTTTTGATAAGTTTCAAAACTTGGTTTAATTCTTTGAAAAGACTTTTCGCTCTTTCGTTTTCACTTAAGAAAAAGACAACGAAAGGACAATAGGAAGTTGTTTGTAATATCATTTAAATATCTATTGTTTCCTCGACTAGCTTGTGAAAGAATTTCTCGCGCCAAAACGGAGTAACAATAAGTTGTAGTCATAGAAACAAACCATCGACCAATAAGGTGAAGTGTAACATTACTCACGGCTATTTATTCTTGTTGCGTATTTCGTAGTACGAGACTGTCAGAGGTGCTCGAGGAAGTCGTTCGATAGATAAACGTCAGAATACAGGGTAACAGATATGACTGCCACTAAAGCAATTTTTCAACCACAGTGTCCTCGAAGGGTGAGACCAGACATCACTCCCAGCCGTTCGGTTTGCAGACAGCTCTTTGGGCCTGTTGACCACGTACAATTGCGAGCAGATTTACTCCGCGAGAAGGAGAAACTTGGCGTGGACAACAATCAGACGTGGAATTTCGATTTTGAAAATGGTGTTCCTTTAGTAGGAAAGTACGTCTGGGAGAGACTATTTCCTAAAGTGAATGGAGATAGAACAGTTTCACGTTTTACTGACCAAGTCAGTGAAATGGAAACACCGGAACAATTCAGTCGCGCTTCAACGGAACTTACTACTACACCTACTACTACGACAAGCTTAGGCACGTCGACATCAGATGGCTCGGGCTCTACACAAGAGACTGTATCGATGAACGGCAAAAGTCACCCACAATCTCGCCTGAGGCAAATCAGGAAGACTAAATCTACAGGAAAAATAACGGGTGAGTCAAGAAATATTTCTGTGTAATGTATTGTTGATATTTAACTCTTCTCTTTGGCTCGTTGAACTAACTCTCTTATGATCGTCGACGTGACATGTTTAGCACGAGATGATCGTGTTTCAGCTGAGCACTAGATCTGTTTGCAACTTTCCTTTTCAAGATTCCACTGAATTTTGTTCATTCCGTGAGAAATAACTGTCATTTCGTTCGTTCATATGTGACCGATCTACGGTTATTAGATGTAGTAATGATAATAGTCTTTTGTCAACTGGGTCAAATGCGACAATAAACCAGGCCCTTGGTATCGATTTGCATTGGTTCTTATAAATCCTTTGTAATCTCTCCTTTCAGATTTTCTGCGATCAGCCAAAAGACAAAGAACGAGTGAAAAGGGACCACGAAGCACTAAACGAAGATCAATCCCGAAACAAACAAGTATAGACTTGTTCGTTCGCAAACAATAACTAGGCGTTTCAATTAAGGTCAGTAGTTTTATAAGCACTAAATCGATATAACGGGTTGTGTAACACAGCAGTTGTACTGTAGTTCATCCGTGAATTTCCTTTCGTGACAAACATAGCAAAATCTAAATCTTACGTTGTCTTAAGAGGTTTATTGGTGATGTTTTCATTATCCTGGTGTATCAATTATTCCCTAAGGATGTCCCCACAGTGAACAGTTGTCACCGAATGCTCATTTGTTTGTCTTCTGTCAAAAAAACTCATTGGATTACTGATCACCGACCTCGTTGAAAAAGAACTGTTTACCCAACGGTCTCAAACTAGTTAGAGGCACGTGTCGCCAGTTGAATTTTATTTAAAGTGAACGCGTTCATTTCTGTAATGGAATGTTTTATGAGTACATTCCATTCTAGATTTTAATACGTGTTTCTCTTCTCTTTCTAAATTGACTCTACATCGCCAAAAAAAAATTACAGCTATTTCACTTTTTGGTAATGATGTTGTATTTACTTTAAAGTAATTGAGTTCTTACGTTTGTAATGTTCGAGTACTTTTGGCAACATTTCGATGTTCTATCGATAAAATTTCGGTAATCTTGGGGCTTATATTGCATCCGAGGAATATGGGGCGTGTTCCCTTGAAGACAAAAGGTAGCTATGTGACAATATCGTACTCACGGAATATGATATCACAAAAACAGCAGTTCTGAAAAACCTGTGATCACATATTTTTATTATTTTTTTAGCGCAGTTCCAATGAAATTATGGCACAAGCAACACCATTCCAATTCCATTTCATTGTCAAGACAAGTCAGTGGACTGGCTGATGGAATGAAGTTTGATTGTCTAGCAAACAGGAATGATTAGAGAATCTAAGTCTATAAAAAATGTAAATAATGCAGATATAAGTGTTCCAACTGGGAAACAAGGAATAGAAAAGCTACAAAACAGCCACAAAGGCTTAAATTGTTCTATTTCTAATGTAATTCACTCAGTGAAGGATATTTTATCATATTGATAAGTTTTTCTTCAAGGGAAATGTTTGTCATCAGAGGAAAAGATGACTCTAGGGTGGACATGCATGGTGCAATAGTGTTAATCCCATTCAATTTGCTATAAGTTCTGTTGAATCCATAACAATTCTTTCAAGATGTAGTTTCATAGAGTTTTGTTGCTGTCATTCCTAAGGAAAAGCTTGTATCAGTGTCAGCTTTCTTCTTGACTTTGTACCCTTTCTGGGGTAACTTTTGTAATTATCCTTTGTACATTCTCACAGATCAGAGTTAAATGTCCTGGTGGTTTCCAGTCTGTTATGATGTAAATTCATGTTCAAAGGCTTAAAATATTTGTCTAAAAAAACAAACATTGCCTCTGTAAATTATAACTTAATTGAAGAAATCTGAAGAATTGGAATCTTTATTAAAAAAAGCAACTTAAACCAAGGTTATTCAATGTCATAATGTGAAATCATTACTCAGTGAGGAGGGAAGAGAGCTCTACAATTCAACTTAAAACTTTCCCCAACTTTTCACTCTCCTTATGTAAAGTTTAAATTCTGTGCACTGTTTTCCACACATCTCCCTTAATATTAGTGCTGAGAGTTTGATTTGATGTTGAATAAAGCAACTACCTGATAATTTTCTTTCTTCTAATCACTTTCCACATTAATATATAGTTATCACTTTGTAAATCAAAATTCATTTCAGTTACTCCTAAGTGTGAAAGGGTTAAACTCAATCTGGGGGTGGAGAAGGATTTATATGTGGCTCATGATTAAGCCAAAAGTTAGCATGTGACATACAGAAAGGCAAAGCAAGGTAAGATTTGAAATTCTATCTGGGAGGGGGGTACATACAATAATAGGAATTTTTTACGCTAAGGAAATCAATGTCAGCCAATGCAGTAAGCAGTACAGATCTCTACCCCACCCAACTCCACTGCATAAATGTTGCTTCTTTGGAGAGAACAAGGCTCAAAATGTTAACAGCCTCTAAGCTTGACGTCACTCTCATTGACACGTTTTACCCAGGATTTGAGGAGGTCAGGGGTTAGGGTGTTTAGGTTTCGAGCCTCCAGCCCTGGAGTTAGTTGGGACTACAGTGGTTAACATTGATCCAGGAGAGAAAAATAAAATGTTTGAGGGGTAAGCACTTGTCGGGCTTTCTCCTGACTATCAGGAAAACATAAAACCAAATTTTAAGACTTGATTTTTTTCGTAATCAGCTAGGTATTGTTTAGAAAAATCCAGCACTGCCATTATTCAATGTCCTGGATCATGCTATGCTCAGAGGAAAAGACACTATTGTTCTGGACATCAAGGAAAATTAATTCCATTTAATCCTTTGACGTACCTAAATCCCAGAGTGTAGAGCATCGCCGACCCTCTGCCTCATGCTAATCCAGAAATAAAGTCGAGGAAGGAATGAGCTTCACAAGCTGGAGTTTTTGCTTAAATAACTCAGTACAATTTTTGCACAACTCCACATTTGTCCATTGATTGTTTTCATTGAAAAGAAACAAAGCCAGCAGAAAAAAGGCCAGCTTAAGAGTTTCACTTTTTCATCTTCGCTACTTCAAATGGAAGAAAAATGAACTAGTTTGGTAGAGCCCACTGGCTGTGACACAAAAAAGCAATCTCAAATGCTGCTCTGACATGCACAAAAGAGTCCTATTAATATAGATTTTAAGAGGTGGGTTTTAAAATAAATAAACATCCTTTTGGCTTACTGATATGTTTGCTGATAATGTCCTTGGCTAACAGACTGTGCTTTGAATTTTTTGTATTCCTTCAAAACTTCACTTCGTTACCAAACACTCATTTTTCTGAGAATACCTCAGCGACGGACATTATCAGCTGAAATACTAGGCACCTGAAGGGGTTTATATATACTTAATAATGTCCCCATTTTGTTAGGGCACAATAAATCAATAAGAGGTGTGTGCATGTAACTAATGAGGATCATAAATTGCAGACCTACAAATGTTCAACAAATGATTTTAATAGCTGTGAAATGAGCAAAACAATTGATTCTCATCTTGAAGACGTTATGATGCAACAGGCAATTACCTTATGAGTATTAAACTACAAAATTATGAGTAACAGCTTGGAGTGACAATGGAATTGATCAAAAATTACAATACTCATACCCAATCATTACTATCCCTCAAGTGAGTCTCTTGTTTGAGAAGTGTTCAATTTCAGTGCTTTTGTGTAGGAAAAAGGAACAGATGTTGATGATAAATAAGGTATGGATATGTACTACACGTTGCTCCATTAATTGTGAAACAAATGTTGGTTTTAAATTTAAAAAAAATTAATTAAAATAATAAGTAAAGACTTAGCTACCATTGATCAAAATCTACTAGGTGCAGAGATACATTCTCGCAAAAAGCTGAACTTTTTCCAAGCATCTGTTCAATGCATTAGGTCAACATTTCCATATTGCTCAAAACATAGCTGAGCTTATTTAACTTCCAATAATCCTTTAGTATCCTTGGTAAAGAAATTATTTTCTACATTTTTTGTCTCTAATGCCTTGCAAAGACTATAAAATCCTTTAACGGCACTCCTTTTTTGCCACTGAAATGTCTTTAAGAAGTGACACACTGATATATTAACTATGTGCCACTCACAACATGAATCCCTCTACACTTATTTCATTTCACTTATGAGATGAAAGTTAGTCATCCATGTGGCATCATTATTCATTTTCTTTGTCTTCCAGGAGAAACATTTGCTGTTTTAATTTTTCCTGTTGCCCATGTAGATTATCTTGCTTCTCTGAAGATACAGCAGCTGTTAGGAATGAGGATGAAGCATTTTAGTAAACAAGAGATAGGGGAAAAAAAGCTTATTTGGAGAACATTCTAGGCAAAGCTCTATGAAGGAATAATTGTGACCTTGTGCTCTCATGCTGGCCAACCCCCCTAAATAATATCAGCAAGTCTGCCAGGCAAAGAAAATGTGAATCAGCCTCAAGTTTAAAAATCTTGTTTACATAGTGAATTTATTGCAACCTTGAAATCTCCATTTTCAATTTCATAAGCTTTCAAAGTCTCAGATTTACTATTACAACCAGGGGTGCCAGTCAAAAGGCAGCTGATCCAGTTAAGCTCAGAGCTATCTCTGTGAGCATGGAAAGTCTGGGCATACCATGCCTTTCTGTTTAACCCTTTGCACCCTAACATAAGTATTCAAGACATATTCTTGTCTCTCTCCTGTTCTCTGTACATTTACTAAGGTACTGACAAGGAGAATCCATCAAATAATCAAGAGTTTGTTTAGTTGGTGATCATTTCCCTTATTCTCATGACATAAATGTGTGATTCAGTGATGGTATTGTAAGGAGAAATTAGATGCTAGTCACTCTTGGGGGTTTAAGGGTTAAGAATTTGGTTCTGATGATGAATTGTGTTGCAAAAATTGAACAGTCTCACTGTCACATTTAAAGTACAGATCTTTGCATCTTGGTAAATCATTGATTCCATCATCAACACCTCTTAATAGGAATATGTAAGTAAAATTAAGGGACTTACTTGAATCCTTATAACACAAGAGTGCTTTAAAGATGTTTCTCAGTTTTTCAAGATTAGCACAGCTTACTTTGGAGTGGTCTACCATTGGATAAGGGTAGTCCACACCAATGATGCATCTTGCTGCCTTCTGTACACTCTCTGGTGCTGTCCATGGGGCATGGATGTATTTTGCCGGGAACCCTCTCAGGACTGGAAGGTATTTTCTGGAAAAAGAGTCATAAAATAGTGCTCTTTAGAACAAGCCCAAGTTGTTCAAACAGCAGTTTGTGGTATCCACTGGATAAATGGCTATCCTGTGGATAGTGCAGTGTGTTTTGTTGACCCTTTAACTCCCAAGATCTGATTCTTAATTCTCCCATCTAACCGCCAAACATTTCCTTGTAAATTAGTCATGAGAACTTGGTGCTAGATCAAGATAGCGGCTTCTACCTGATGAGTTTGAATGTTCTCGTTACCTATTTGCTGAAAAATGTACAGATATTGTAGGGAGAAGTTTTATGTTAATCACTTCTGGGAGTTAAAGGGTTAACAGCTGGATAGCAGGTTATCTGTCAGATAGTGTTATCCACCCTTTGAACAGCTGGGCCCAGTTCCACAAGCATTCAATTCATCCAAAGTAAACGGTGTAATATCAGATCAGCAATGACAATCACTATCATTTATTACAATATCAAAATTAGAGCTATTTTCAATTGATTGTCAGACCAATCCTATGGTTACTATGGTTTTGCTTTACTATGCTCTGCAATTGGTGTTGAAAACTTGCATCACCCTCTCACCTAATCAGATGCAAACTCACAACAGATCATGCCTTAATCATTTGTGTTTTCTTGTGCTTTTAAGGTAGTTTGACTGATTTTACTTTCAGTTCTCATTAGCTCTTTAAGGTATTTCCTTCCTTCTGATTGGCCCTTGCAATTAATTTGGTTTTAGTTTTAAGGACACTCAATTGAAAAGCACTCTATAATAATTAATTCTTACGGTTATCATAACCACTACTTTTTTACAACAGCATATTGTTGGAACCTTAAAAATTTGAAGCTTAAGGATTGTGAAACAAAGAAGTAAATTGTGATTGTGGATGTAAATTTGAAAATCAAGTTGTCATAAAATTGATTGGTTAGAGTGGTAATCATGTCTTCTGAATTAAAGTAAAGAAACAAGCAATCAGAAAAACAGACATACCTGTATGAGTCCATTAAAAATATGACAACTTGAGTCAGAGAAAAATTGAAAGTCTGAGCTGAGATTGGAAGCACAAAATTGTAACAGGCAAGACTGCCTGATCAAGGCAATTTTTGGTAAGGAATTTCAAACTTGAAGGGGGGCAATATAATTTAAGAGTACACAAAGCTGCTAATAGTTGTGGTTCAAATTTAAGTTTTGGTTTTAAATTCTCCAAAGCAGTTTAAGGAATCAGTTTTCTTTCTGTTCTTTCTGTTCTTTAAATGATGTGAATTGAAAAGAATAAAAATGAAACTTAAACTGTTTTAAATCATTTTCCAACAAAACAAATTTTCACCAACAACCACATTACCAAAAAAATAACACAATACTATATCAAATTAATGAATCCTTGCTTTGCACCATCACACAATCAGAATCTTGAATCAAAACTATTGAATGCCTGATGCCAGGACAGTGAGCTATTGTAGCAGATTGATAGATAAACAATTCGCCCAAGTTACAGGTCTGCCCTTCCACGAGTTTCTAATGCTCAGGGAACAAAACGTCACATGACAAAATTACATTTTACATAGGTATCAGCTTTCCAGGCCACTATTTAGATGTTGAGTGTCAAAACATTAGGAAATTAGAATGGTTCTATTTTCAAAATGGAGGACCCCACCACACTGAAACTTTACCAAGACGTTTAGGAGATCTTTTGTCTTTCAGAGGTAGAACTGTAATAGCCC